ATAGATACGGCAATCCACTGAGTACCTCGTATAATATATATATATATATTATACGAGGTACTCAGTGGATTGCCGTATCTATATATCTGTTTAATATATTTATTTATATCTCCTCACAAACAATTTAAATTTACGCATAGGTATTTAGGATAAAATAAAATTAAAATAATAAAATAATGGAACTCTGCTGTGAGGAGCTGGTGTCTGTAATAGGTTAAGACCTGTAGTACAGATCACCAGGCCTCCAACCGATATGTGTTTAAATAATAATTAAACAAAATGCATTCCACTGAAATTACACAATTCAAAAATAAAAATAACAATAATTAATAGTAGCAGATAAAAAAAGAACAATATAGTTAATATTGTAAAGTGAAAAAAGTGTTTGTATGTGTGTGTGTGTGTGTGTGTGTGCGCGCGCGCGCGTGTGTGCGTGTGCGTGTGCATATGTGTGTGTGTGTGTGTGTGTGTGTGTGTGTGTGTGTGTGTGTGTGTGTGTGTGTGTGCGCGCGCGCGCGCGCGCGCGCGCGCGCGCGCGCGCGCGCGCGCGCGCGCGCGCGCGCGCGCGCGCGCGCGCGCGCGCGCGCGCGCGCGCGCGCGCGCGCGCGCGCGCGCGCGCGCGCGCGCGCGCGCGCGCGCGCGCGCGCGCGCGCGCGCGCGCGCGCGCGCGCGCGCGCGCGCGCGCGCGCGCGCGCGCGCGCGCGCGCGCGCGCGCGCGCGCGCGCGCGCGCGCGCGCGCGCGCGCGCGCGCGCGCGCGCGCGCGCGCGCGCGCGCGCGCGCGCGCGCGCGCGCGCGCGCGCGCGTGCGCGCGCGCGCGCGCGCGCGCGCGCGCGCGTGCGCGCGTGTGCGTGCGTGCGTGTGTGTGTGTGTGTGTGCTAGCGTGTGTGTGCGTGTGTGTGTGTGTGCTAGCGTGTGTGTGCGTGTGCGTGTGTGTGTGTGCGTGTGTGTGTGCGTGTGTGTGTGTGTGTGTGTGTGTGTGTGTGCGCGCGCGAGTGTGCGCGCGCGCGTGTGTGTGCCTGTGCGTGTGCATGTATGTGTGCGTGTGCTAGCGTGTGTGTGCGTGTGTATTGTGTGTGTGTGTGTGCATGTATTCTGATGTGTATGCGTGAAAGTGCGAATGAATTTGCGTATATATTTATGTATGTATGTGCATATGTTGTAATGATAGACACGTATATCAACTCAATGTTAATATTTGGTATATTTTAAAATGTTTTGTTTGTATTGTACAGCAATCAAACCTTCGGCTAATATTACACAATTGGTCTCCATTATAAATGGATTGTGGTTTATGAAAGATTACGTTTCTACTCGTAATATAAAAACTTGCCATAATTTGTAAAGCAAGTAAGTCATTCGTGTTTTTTTTATACCACTGAGGTGGCATACGGCCCACCTGATAGTAAGCAGTTACCGTAGCCCATGAACGTCTGCAATACCAGGGGTATTTTTTTTTCAATGGATGATATAGGAATGGTAACTTCGCCTGCGCTATTGGGATACGCTGGCGGAGCACCAGTGAAGGGTGATCGATGAAAATGAAAACAGGCCAGTTGGCCCATCATGATGAATTTATCAGGAATTTAGCATGATAGTTTGCAGAGGGAACCGCGAAGAGGTCGACCTGGTTGGGTATATTGCTAGCAATGTGATTCTCAGTTTCCATTACTAACAATTCCTTTGCCCCCATTATGTGTATGTTTATATTATATGAATTTATAAAATGTTGCTTTATTTTTTTTTTCTCTATTCAATAATGCACCGCCTACTTATTTCTCTGTTCGCCCAATGGTCGACTGGTAGAGAACACCGTCCGGTGTTAAGTCGGGCTAATGTACAAAGAATTTTACTGTGCATTAAAATTTAAATAAACCGCGTGGAGGTCGACCAGATAGGGTATATTGTTAGCTAATATGGCTGCTGGAGCCCATTACTAACAATCCCTTTCCCCCCAAGATCTACGTGTTATCTCAGACAATGGTACGCGTTTAAACGATTTGAACACAAGTGAAAACAAAAGCTAACGATATTAATAATAAGAGATGAAGGCGCTGTTGTTCAAGTGAAAGTAACGTCCGTCGAGTGTGACGGACAGACGGACGGTATAATTTTAATAGAGACTTTGCTAATACTACTGCAAATGATTGCCATTCGATATTCAACCTTAACGTGAACGATATAAGTTTCAAATTGCATTATGTTATAATACAACTAAGTGCTAGCAATTTTGTACACTGAGAAATTGATAGTAATTTTATTACAATAACTGCACACCTGTTAGTGGTAATTATGGCCACACTTTGGTTTGTTTTATTTATGGAACGTGTTTTGTTTTATTTGCCATTGAAATTGTGATGTTTTATTTTTAACCGACTTCAAAAAAGGAGGACGTTTCTTAATTCGGTTGTAATCGTTTTTTTGTTTGTTAGCTTCATTAATATATTATAAATAATGATCGTGTTATTGCTTGTTTTTTTTAATAAATGATAATGAAATGGTACTCGTAACCCCGCCTGCGCTATCGGTATACACTGGCGGGGCTCCAGTGAGGGATGATAGGTGAGGATGAAAGATGATCAGACAGCCCATTGTGACGAATTTAACAACAATTAACCACGTTTTCCAGGAGGAATCGCATGAAGATCTCTACCTTACAGGCTTACTAGTAATGGGGATTACCGTCCCCATTACTAACACCCCCACGACCCCCTTGAGCTGACTGTTACTGACTAATTTTATTTTTTTATATACAACTTAGAATGGCAAACAAGCTGACGGCCCACCTGATTGAAAGTGGTAACCGTCGCCTATAGACATGAATGAGCAGTACCATGGACATAACAGAGTATACTGTTTCACCCATGATATTTCCCATGCGTTGCCATTCCTGAGGACTCAGGTGTTATTCCTCTGTACCCAGTAAATTCACGCCATATCCTACCCTTCAAACCGAAACACAGCCATGCAAACACAACTGCGTCACGGTAGAAACACGAATGGGACAGAGGTGGCCCAAGCAAACGACTTGTACAAAGTCTCCCTCTGGTAAAACTTACTACTTTTCTATGTACGTTTCGATCATATCGTCATAGCCGTAGAATACTGACGGATCTTTATATGTAATATTCGTCAGATCCGTCAGTATTCTACGACTATGACGATATATGTAAGATGCGAGTACCTACACTATCAACTTTTATGGCCACCACACACAGCGACATGTCGCAATCTCAACATAGTTATAATAGCGAACGAACCCGAAGGTAATTACTATAATACAGCCATTATTGTAGAAAACAAGTTGTCGTTACGTACATGTATTAGAAAATTGCCGCTCGCTCCTCGCCTCTCGTCTCGGAACAATCAAGGCTGATAACTGGGCGTTATTACGTTAGGAACTTTCATAGAAAGCCGACTAAAATCGGTCGTGCGACGTTTGTATTCTTTAAATATACTAATATAAAATATATACTTGTATAAAAATAATAATAGCCCGAAGGATAAATGAGTTGAAGTGGCAATGGGCTGGTCACACAGCTCTTAGAGTCGACAACCGATGGGGAAGATAGGTTCTTGAGTGGCGACCGTGTACGGGCAAACGCAGTGTAGGGCGACCCCCCACTAGATGTAGTGACGACCTGAAATACATTGCAGTGTATGCAAGTAGTTCAAGACCGTTCCTTATTCAGTCTATGGGGTCTTATGGCAGTCTATGGGGGAGGCTTATGTCCAGCAGTGGAAGGATAATGGCTGAAATGTTGATGATGAATAATATACTGTGTCCCCCGTGCTGGAATACTGTTTTTTTTTTCATTGGTAATGGAATAGCAACTCCCGTGCTAACGGTATATACTGGCGGGCGCTAGTGAGGGGTGAGAGGTAAGAATGAAAAGGCAGGACAGTTAGCGTATGGTGACGATTGGAATTAAGCATGATGTTTTCCAGGGCGGACCACGTGGAGGTCGACCTGACAGAGAGTATATTGCTAGTATTGGGATTGGTAGACCTCATTACTAACAAACCCACCCTCCTCGCCCCCTCTAGCGGGTAGTTACAACAACTTATGGTAATCACCCATACAAAATTATGGAGTAAACGTGAACTTGATGGTGATGTGTATATTTTTTAATTAAATACGCTAATCATATTTAAAGATACTTTCTAACATATTTTTTATTTTAAACTGCGTTCAACTAACAATACCTTCCCGCCCGCCGGAATACTGCCGTGTAAACCTATCGTAGAATGGTCCACTCTTTCTTTCCCTTGGGTGTAGTAAGAAGCGATTAATGGAATTTAATGGTCGACAAATGGGCAGCAGCGTCCGTCCAAAGCCTAACTGCGGTTGTCAACTCGCTTACCAAGCGTGTCAAGTGGCAATTACTGGCAAAACTGTGTTCAGCAGTGGACAGTTAACGGCTGAGCGTCATGTTAGTTAATTTAATAACATAATAATTTATTTCAGGCACTGAGAAAACTATATAAAATGTTGTCACACGAAGTACCATATATATGTATACTAGCTGACTCGGCAAACGTTGTTTTACCATATACATTATTTCTAGAACTATACATGAAAATTTATCCTACTACAATTATTATATTCGATTGTCATCTTGCAACCCTATTGCTGAATATAAAAATAGCGATTAAAAAATAGGATTTGAGCGTAAAAGCGTGAAAATTTGAATTTGTATATATTTTTCGATGCTTAATCATAATAAAATAAAAATGGAAAACTTTATCAAAAAAATAAAAAAAAATTTTTGGGGAGGGTCACCCTTATCATTGAGGGGTATAAAAAATAGATGTTGGCCGATTCTCAGATCTACGCAATATGCACACAAAATTTCATAAAAATCGGTAAAGCCGTTTCGGAGGAGTTTGGTAACAAACACCGCGACACGAGAATTTTATATATAAGATATAATATTATGTTTGTTTTATTTATATAAATTTTAATTTATATATACATAATCCTGTCTCTTTTTGATTACAGGTACTCGAGATCATAATTGGAGAAGAAAGAAAAAAAAAACAAAAGATGGCGACGTCGAATTTCTAAAAAGAGAATCAAATACGTAATAATAAATTAACATTTATTGACGTAACTAGTGAACCTGTATGATAAATGACACGATGAACTGCAGTTAATATAAAAGTGACACAAATCAAAATGGCACTCATAAACGTGACATTAATCAGTGTACTGTGCAGTGTGGTGTTTGTGTGTGTGTCTGGCCATGTGGCTCTCACGTACCCACCAGCAAGACGGTTCGACTTGGACTTTCTGGACAATTCCAGAACGAAACCGCCGTGTGGAATGCCAAAAGGTAATTTTATTATTTTTAAATTGAATTCTAATGAACTGAATTCGAATTTTGAATTGATTCGAAACTTGAATTTCAATGAACATCTATACGCACTCAGGCAAATAAAAATCCTATAGAATTGTCATTGAAATAGATTTAAATATAATTAAATATGGCCATAAAAATAGGTTATTTAAAAAATAAAAAAAATATATATATATCAACATATTTTTATGCATTTAATGTTAGCCTCAAGAGAACCAGTCGGGCAATATTTTTATTATAATTTAGCTATTTAAATACACAATGTGACTGTGATATTATGTATACATTTTTACATTAACATTGGGTCCATAATAAATAATGGACTTTGGAGTAGTTTAAGGAACTAATTTGCAATATTTATTTATTTATTGCTAAACGCGAACTCATTGATATTCCTTAACTAGGTTATTATATAAATATTTCTTTGTTGTTTAAACACATTTTTGTACTTAATTTACTTAATTTGTAAATATATAAGCATTCTTATATATTAGAAGATTCATGCTTAAGGGGCATGATATTGGACCTAGATATCCCATTAGGAAAACTTTTTAAAAAAAAGTTAAACCGACTTTAAGAAAAAAAAAAATGTAACAGGGCGCAAATGGTATGGTTACCCTGCCTGCGCTAACGGGATACACTGGCGGAGCACCAGTGAAGGGTGATAGATGAGAATGAACGCAGGCCAGTTAGCCCATCATTAATTCATCAGGAATTAACCGTGATAGTTACCAGGGAGAACCGCGAGAAGATCGACCTGGTTGGGTATATTGCTAGCAATGAGATTCTCAGTCTCCATTACTAACAATCCCTTTCTCCCCAATATATCCGGTATTGGGCCAATATATGTACAGCTTAGATTATATAGATAGAGTTTCGAAACGGCCAATTGTCAAATTAGCTAACTCGTTTTTTTTTATCAGTGTTCAATAAAAAAAAAAAAACTTCTACGCATACAATGTATCTTGACGTATTATTTAATAAATGAATTTAGTATTTACGCATTGAAAAAGATGCGAAATTATAAGACAAAATATAGAAGTTATAAATATAGAAGGAGTCACTCTTAACTTTTTATCACGCAAAATTGTATAAAAAAGTTGACCCGTTTTCTTCGAAGCATTTCTATGGAGACACTCTATCTATATAATCTTAGATATTATAGCTACAATGTATAGATATTGGTAGATATTAACCAGGGGGGAAGGGATTGTTAGTAATGGGGAGGTTAGTCCCCATTGCTATTAATATACCCTATCAGGTCGACCTCCACGCGGTTCCCCCTGGAAACTATCGTGACTAATTTATCGTTGAATTCGTCACGGTGGCCTAACTGATATGCCTTTTCATCCTCACCTGTCACCTCTCACTGGTGCCCCGTCAATGCATACCAATAGCGCAGGCGGGGTTACCATGCCATTTTCATCTATCAAAGACATTACCCACCCTTAGTAGGCAGACAGACAGACGGGATTTCTATAAAATTATTGTTTTGAATTTTTCTTATTAAATATCAGATCAAGCTAGTCACTACTCGAGCAAAAAATTACTATGGCGAGCGAACGAGCGCCTACCTTATACCGCGATTAGTAAATTCTCTACCTACCGACTTGCGAAACAATATCACCGTTAAAAACATAAAGTTTAAACTGAGAGCTTATTTACTGTCCAAGCTTGCTGAAACAGCAGAATATTAATGTAAACATTGACATTTGAGAACCAAATGTAAAGTATCACACACAAGCCCAAGAGGTTTGAGTGGTACTAAAAATTCAGCTTTTTTTTTTAATGTATTTATGCATGCTAATTAAATAAAAAAAAAAATTTAAAAGTAGGCACCGATACTGTGGCACTCGAGATTGTTACCTACTCCAATTACGATAATAATGCTTCAAACCTCAGTTGCATAATAGCGGTCGTGACCTACCATAACCGGTGCACCATCGCGGATTGCATATTGCGAGATGAGTCAGACTAGGGGGCAATGACCTAGGCCACGAGGTCGGGTCTAGATTGTAAACAGGTGATAGGCAGGTACGTCTGATGAATTTGTTACAAATTATTTTAATAATATAACAAATTTAGGGGGGAAGGGATTGTTAGTAATGGGTTCTAACTGACTTATTGCTACCAATACACCCTATCAGGTCGACCTCCACGTGGTTCCACCTGGAAACCATCGTGGTTAATTCTAGTGGAATTCGTCACGATAGGCCATATATATATACATATATATATATATATATATATATATATATATATATATAACAAATTGTAATAAAGGTTCTTGAGTGGCGATCGCGTACGGGTAAACGCAGTGTAGGACGACCCACCGCTAGATGGAGTGACGGCCTAAAATGTGTTGTAGGGAGTCAGTGGATGCAGGTGGCTCAGGACGGTTTTTTATGGCAGTCTATCTCCCCCATGGATTATGTCCAGCAGTGGACGGATAATGGCTGAAATGATGATGAAAAAATTGTAAATAAACGATGTCTGTACATGGGAGATGTTTAAGAAAAAATCATATAAAGGATCTAAATAAGAACAACAGACGTAAAATTAATAAATTTTTAAAAATCTGTCTGTCTGTGTGTATGTTGTTATGTCAAAAATTACTACATACAATTCAAGACGGTTTTCACGGTTGTGTTTCTAAAAGTGTATGTTCTAAAAGTGAATTTACTGGGTACAGAGGAATAACACCTGAGTCCTTATGAATGGCAACGCATGGGGGGTATCATGGTCGAAACAGTATACTCCATGTTATGTCCATGGTACTGCTCATGTGTATAGGCGACGGTTACCACTTTCCATCAGGTGGGCCGTCAGCTTGTTTGCCATTCTAAGTTGTATAAAAAAAAGATATAGATAGAGATATAGATCTTTTTTTTTTACGGATATCCGCGAATACGAATACGGATATTACTAGTAGAGTAAAGTGGGGCAAGTTGACGCTATAAAATTTTGAAATCCGTTGTAGATTTAATTTAGTGTATGGGGGGTAGATATTTTAAAATTCTTTTTAAATCTATAATATATTTTATTATAATTGAATATAAATATTATTATTTCTTTACTAAATAGGACCCAGTTAAGTGTTACGTAATTTGGACATGTCACAACAAGCAGATGTGGCCGAGTGGTTAAGGCGACTGACTCGAAATCAGTTTCCCTCTGGGAGCGTAGGTTCGAATCCTACCATCTGCGTCCCATTTTGCTTTTGGGGTGAATATTTTAAATATGTGAAGGATGAGTAAATCTAAAAATTCAATTAAAAAGGAAAAATATAGAAAATGAGCTTGGAACGGATTTTAATAAAAACTAAAGTTACATCACGTTTTCTAATTATTATGTATCTAGTCGGGAATTGAACTCACTGCATGTAAGAAAAGCAACCAATTAATGTTATTTTATATTGTTTATAATTACTCCTCCATTCGTGTTTCAACCGTGAAACAGTTGTGTTTGCATAGCTGTGTTTCGGTATGAAGGGTGGGATATGGCGTGAATTTACAGGGTACAGAGGAATAACACCTGAGTCCTCAGGAATAGCAACCCTAAATGGTCGCGTACAACGCAGTTTCAGAGATATTTTCTCTCACGAACACACAGGTTATGGAATAAGCTCCCTGCCGAGGTTTTCCCAAGAGACTACAGCATGGGGTTCTTCAAAAGAAGGGAAAGAGGTTTCTTCAGGGTCGGCAACGCGCGCGTAATACCTCTGGTATTGCAGGCGTTCATAGGCTACGGTAACCACTTACCATCAGGTGAGCCGTATGCTTGATTGCCACCTTAGTGGTATAAAAAAAATGGGAGGTATCATGGGCGAAACAGTACTCTGTTATATCCACGGTACTGCTCATGTCTATAGGCGACGGTTACCATTTTGCCGTCAGCTTGTTTGCCATTCTAAGTTGTATAAAAAAAATATTGGGGAAAAAACAAGTATAATAAGTGTACAGCGAGAGAACCGATCAATAAGGCCGCCTTACTGTCCTTATACAACTGTATCGTTACATTTATTAATTGTCTTGCTTCTTCCCTATAGTGTATAATACAAATAAAGTATACTTATTCATTTAAAGAATGCATGAGAACAAAAGAATCACTACTACATTGCCAAAACGTATTATTTGGGGGGGAAAGGGATTGTTAGTAATGGAGACTGAGAATCCCATTGCTAGCAATATACCCAACAAGGTCGACCTCATCGCGGTCCCCTCTGCAAACTATCATGGTTAATTCCTGATGAATTCATCATGATGGGCTAACTGGCCTGTTTTCATTCTCATCTATCACCCATCACTGGTGCTCCGCCAGCGTATCCCGTTAGCGCAGGCGGGGTTGCCATACCATTTTCACCCATCAAAAAAAAACGTATTATTTTAACAACCTGGAAATTAATCCTAATTTGCGATTTTTTACTTCCTCATAATTGACGTTGAAATGTTATCTGCTAATTATATTATGAAGTTTTTTTTACGAGTGATAATGGAACGGTAACCACCCGCACTATCGGTATACACCGGCGGGGCACCAGTGAGGGATGATGGGTGAGGATGAAGCAGGCCAGTTAGCCCATCGTGACGAATTCAACAAGAATTGTTCACGAGGGTTTCCAGGGGGAACCACGTGGAGGTCGACCTGATAAGGCATATTGCTAGCAATGAGGCTGTCAAACTCCATTGCTAACAACCCCTTTCCCCCCTATATTATGGAATGCAATCTATACTTATAATAAATCTGTAGAGAGGTCAATTCTGTACATGAAATATATTTCCAAAATAACTATCAGGGGGTGATTAGTGATCGATATTGATACCAAAAATGCAATCGGTAAAATTTTTGTCTGTCTGTCTGTATGTTCGTTATAGAAACAAAAACTATTCGACGGATTATAACGAAACTTGGTACAATTATTCTTCATACTCCTGGGCAGGTTATAGTATACTTTTCATCACGTTACGATCAATAGGAGCAGAGCAGTGAAGGGAAATGTTGGGAAAACGGGAGAAGTTACTCCATTTTTAAGCATCCGTCGCGTGTGCAGCCTAATGGCCACTTTTTAAAATGTAAAAATGTCCACCCGTGCGAAGCCGGGACGGGCTGCTGGTAAGAAATGAATAAATAAAATAATATCCGGGCCCACGGATGCTCCATAAGGGAGAGCAACGAAAAAAAAGAATGTATTATTTCTTTTAAAAGTCCTAATTGGTATTAAATCGTTTTTTAATTTCGCGACTTCTGAATGGAATAGACTTAGAAAATAATTAGTGTTCATTCATTCACCATACGGTGAAATCAGTGATTAGCTTTATCACTTAAAGCGCTCTACCAAAGAAAGTTCAAATTTTTACCTAAAAGTACGTAATTTTACAAAAAAAAATCTAGTAACAAATTCTAACATAATATGATTTTAGCAATTCTGATCGTTAAAGGTTTTTTAAGTACACATTGTATTTTAATGTAAGAATACACGGATTGACTTACGTGTATTCTACTCGAGAATGTTCGACTAGTTTCAGTCAAGTTTACGCTCACACGGCCGCTCATGACTAAGGGTCCCGGATGGTCACGAAACTAATCGAGCATTTTCGAATATAAGATTGCGTTCCAGAAAAATAAAACCGACTTCAATTAAGGGAAAACTAGTTATTTTGATATAAAAACTAAACTTGGTTTGCACTAAAACAAAACTTGTTCCTTCTTTTTTTATACCACAAACATGGCAAACAAGCATACAGCTCGCCTGATGGTGAACGGCCACTGTAACCTATATACGTCTGTAACACTAGGGGTGTCAATACGCGTTGCCGATCCTGAAAAAACCTTAATGTAGCCTTTTTGAAGAACCCAATACTGTCTTTTTTGGGGGAAAAGGATTGTTAGTAATGGAGACTGAGAATCCCATTGCTAGCAATATACCCAACCAGGTCGACCTCCTCGCAGTTCTCCCTGAAAACTATCATGGTTAATTTCTAATGAATTCATCATGATGGGCTAACTGGCCTGTTTTCATTCTCATCTATCACCCTTCACTGGTGCTCCGCCAGCGTATACCGTTAGCGCAGGCGGGGTTACCATACCATTTTAACCCATCAAAAAAAAATATTGTCTTTAGGGTAAACCTTCTACTATAATTCCGACTGGCCAGATACAAAATCACTAGCACATTTGTTCTACCCACCACCGTATAATATAAGTAAATTTTTTTATACAACTTAGAATGGCAAACAAGCTGACGGCTCACCTGATGGAAAGTGGTAACCGTCGCCTATAGACATGAGCAATACCATGGACATAACATATACTGTTTCGCCTATGATACCCCCCATGCGTTGCCATTCCTGAGGACTCAGGTGTTATTCCCCTGTACCCAGTAAAGTCACGCCATATCCTACCCTTCAAACCATGCAAACACAACTGCTTCACGGTTGAAACACGAATGGGACAGAGGTACCCAAGCAATCGACTTTTGTACAAAGTCTCCCTCTGGTAAATATCTACAGGTATATGTGATAATGAATTAGTAAGCCCGTCTGCGCTATCGGTATACGCTGGCGGGGCACCAGTGAGGGATGATAGGTGACGACGAAAGTAGGTCAGTTAGCTCATCGTGATGAATTCAACAAGAATTAACCAAAACGGGTTCTAGGGAAAGGCGCGTGGAATTCGACCTGATAGGGTATAATTGTTAGCAATCGGGCTGTTTGATCCCATTGCTAGCAATCCCTTTTTACCATTCCGTTACTATTATTTCATTTGTAGTTTTATATACTTTATGCAAAAAGTATTTGTAATGTTAAATATTGCATTATATAAGTTTAGGAACTTCTGAATATATTATACATCTTATATACAAAATTCTCGTGTCATGGTGTTTGTTACCAAACTCCTCCGAAACTGCTTTACCGATTTTTATGAAATTTTGTGTGCATATTGGGTAGGTCTGAGAATCGGCCAACATCTATTTTTTATACCCCTCAATGATAAGGGTGACCCACCCCAAAATTTTTTTTTTAATTTTTTTGTAAATTTTTTTATTTTATTTTATTATAATTTAGCATTGAAGAATACATATAACTTTATATTTTCATCGTTTTACGATCAACCCATGTATTTTAATCGCGATTTTTATATTTCGCAATAAGTGGTATAACAACGTTTACGGGGTCAGCTAATATATGTATACAAAAACATTTTCCCCTTGCGCGCGCACACCCTGAAAGTAGTGGTTTGTTCTCCCGCCACTACGTCACAAGACCGTGTGGCCTAATGGATAAGGCGTCGGACTTCGGATCCGAAGATTGCAGGTTCGAGTCCTGCCACGGTCGCGGAATTACATCCCTCGAGTTCTATAATTTTTTATTATATACTTATTGTTTAAATGTTATTTTGTTTACTTAAGTTCTTACTTTAGTTTTAAAATTAAACATTGATTAAATTACCAAAATAAGGTGTGAGCATTGCTTTTGTTAGGATTTATGGACCCATGTGGTACAAATAGTACGTTCAAATATAAAATATATATTCATATATGTCCAATAGGTTAATCAAGTATTTTATTAACAAAAAAAAAAAAAAAGAAATAACTATAAAATTAGTATGAGATTAACATTAGAGTAAAAAGTTTTGATTTTTAAAATCAATCATCAAAATCGAAAAGGTACATAGAAAAAGTACAAAAATGATTATGTAGTTATCTAAAGGTGATCTGTTTCAATAGAACTTAATGGAAGTGTAAATAAATTAGTTATGAAGCCAACTACATTTCATCCACTTACAAATAAAATAAAAAATTGTAATACAATAAAGATATTGCAGGACCTAATTTCGAATTAAAATATGTACGTTACCTACTTTTTACGAAATTGTGGCGTTTCTGAATTCAAGATGATTTAACAGATTTGACGTTTTATATAGAGTTATCTAACAATGTGGTTTCTAAAGAGGGACATGGGTAATTATGCATGAGAATTGTGCCCGTTTAAATTATGCAATGTTTTGTTAAGGCAATAAATAGAAAAGAAATGCCGAAATTTCATTCTCACGACCACAAAAGTAGCATCCGAAAGTTGTGACATCTATAATTTATTTACGTAACTATAGGATCCTGTAACTTGCAATGTATTTATGGTATATCTATTCAATAATAGATGGCGCTGTGTATAAAATGTTTATTCTGATGTTAAATCTTGTTATTTATTTTTGTTACAGGAACACTAAAGACATCGTTTTTAGCAGGCTCAAACTTTACAGTACATTGGCATTTAGCGTACGCACATCGAGTGAGTTATTTTTTTTTATTAAATTTTTCTTCTAAATAATTGTAAACCCCACGATAACGAATTCCTATCGAATTGTATATCTGTTTATACATATATTAAATTTATTACAGGGTGGCTTCAGTTTGAGGATATTGGATGAATTAGAAAGACCAGTGTTAGATCTAACTCCTCGGGCAGGCGGAACTGAATTTGTACGAGATGATGTCACGTAAGTAGCTTTTATTACATATGTACGTAAATAATTAATAAATGGAAGGGGGTTATGAGCACGACCCATACTCCCCCCCCCACTCTCTTCTGAATATCTCTATGCTGGTAACTCCTTCATTCCATGGAATTTCATCAATCCGTGACTTTATATTCATGTTTTTTTTTTGCAATCATATTACAGAGCTCAAAAGTACGAAGTCCGTCTACCAAACGACTTCACGTGCGAGAACTGCACGCTGCAACTGCAACGCGAGGCCGGCGAATGGGGCGCCAACTACCGGTTCTGGTCGTGCGCCGATATCGACATACTGCCCAGTGAGTATCACCAAAATAAAAAAATAAATCAAAATCTCGAACATCGCTGCCAAAATACGCTTTTCGCTGTTTTCCTACAGGATAATGCTCAAGAACTGCATGATCTGAGGGCCTACCATGAAATATTTTCCGAAATCTACCGTGAAGCAGTTGTGTTTGCATGGCTGTGTTTCGATTTGAAGAGTGGGATATAGCGTGAATGTACTGGGTGCAGAGGAACAACATCTGACTCCTCAGGAATGGCAACGCATGGGTGGTATCATGGGCGAAACAGTATACTCTGTTATTTCCATCAGGTGGGCCGTCAGCTTGATTACCATTCTAAGTTGTATAAAAAAAAATTTCGGGGACGAACGAAACAGAAATTTGATGTTCAAATTACATAATACGTGCCGTTTAAAATTATTATAAATGTTAAAATATCGTTCCCCTGAACTATTAGGATAGGATTTATGATGAACGAAATGTTAAGCTCCATTTACTGGGTCATATCGACCGGTACGAACAAAAACACGAAATTGAGCCCGAAAATTCGGAATTTCATTTCATGGTAAACCACCTGATTCCTCCCTTACCTTTCCTTTACATCTGGCGACCAGATGGGGAGAGAACCTTGACTCCTCCAAAAAATACAACTGAATTGAAAACCTTTTTGAAGTTGGCTAAAAAGTAACTTTAACCACGTAATATAACAATTTTATATACAATCATTCGTTAGTTTGAATGGCTAAGACTGCGTTGTAGATGCATGCATATGAATGAATCTATGCATATGCATGACTACAGGTATGCATATGCATGACTATTTGATAGACGTATCTATATATCATTAGTTCCTACGTGTCATGTAAGAAATGATAGTCTGAATTAATCACTATTGGTATTTGCATATGAGTGCTGTGAATTATTATTTATCACTAGCAACCCGCCCCGGCTTCGCACGGGTGGGCATTCTTTATATTAATATAAGTATTTTTATTTATGAACCGATTGAAACAAAACAAACACTAAATGTTAATTGGAGCAAACCGCAACGCATTAGTGAAAATTGCATTCAAATCGGTTGAGCCGTTTCTGAGATTACCGTGCACAAACATACAGACAAACAGACATACATTCGTGTTTCTCTTGTGAAGAAATTGTGTTTGTATGGCTGTTTCAGTTGGAGGGTGGGATATGGCAGTGAAATTACAGGGTGTAGAGGAATAACACTTGAGTCCTCAGGAATGGCAACGCATGGGGAGTATCATGGGTGAAACAGTATACTCTGTTATGTCCATGGTACTGCTCATGTCTATAGGCGACGGTTACCACTATCCATCAGGTGGGCCGTCAGATTGTTTGCCATTCTAGTAGTAAAAAACATTGAACTGGACGGAGTTATGAAGGAATTAGCATAAAAAATAAATACAGTCGAATTAATACCTGCTTTTTTAAGTCGATTGAAAACTAGGGGTGTCACGCACTCATTTTGATTAAAAAAACATATTTCGACTTTTTTTTATTTTCCCAGGGAAGGAGTACCACGAGACGTGTTCCGGCCACGGTTTCCACATCCTCGGGCGATGCAAGTGCAACAAGATGTACTACGGGCCCAGGTGCCAGTTCTCCGACGAGTGTCTCGAGGACACAGACTGCGGACTCCGTGGGAAGTGTATTGATATCAACGCTACTGAGTCGCCGAGCAAGATGTGTTATTGTCCACTTGGGTTCTATGGCAAAGGATGTAACAAGAGTAAGTACCTTGTAATAACTCTTAAAGTTGACGCCCTCCGTGGCTCAGTGGTAAATGTGTTGCTTTCCGTGAATGAGGTCCTGGGTTCGAATTTCAGTAGTGATTAATTTAGGGTTTGGGTGTTATGGTATGGAGTGGTTCGTTGTCTAACTCCCTCATAATACAGGTTGCTAGCTGTTTTTAGTGGATGATAATGGAATGGTAACCCTGGTTGCGCTAACCATTGAGGCACCAGCGTGGGATGATAGGTGAGAGTCAAAAGGCAGGTCAGTTAACTCATCCTGATGAAGACACCTGGAAATCAGCACGATGGTTTCCAGGAGGGCCATGTGGAGGTCGACCAGACAGAGTATATTGCTAGCAATGGGACTGGTAGTCCGAATTACTAACAATCCCCCCCCCCCTTCCGAGCAAGCAAATTGGTTGGTGTTATTATATATTACATAAATATATACAGCAGTACTAGTATCAGCAGTATCTACTCCTGAATACAGGCCTTCCTCATGGGAGTGGGAGTTACCAATAGTTACCAAGTTTGACAGGCGGATTGGCAACTTAAATAGGATTTGGTGATTAAATTCCCATAGCCGCCTCTTACGACACCCACAGGAAAGGAAGGGATGGCCTATTCTATGCCAAGACCTATACGATGAAACTACATTGATTTGTATAAATGACCTTCTGGGTTTTTTTTAATGGGTGAAAATGGCATGGTACTTCGCCTGTGCTATCGGTATACACTGGCGAGGTATCAGCGAGGGGTGATAGGTGAGAATGAAAAGGCAGGTCAGTTAGCCCATCGTGACGAGTCGATAAATAAATTAGTCACGATTGTTTCCAGGGGGAAACGGGTAGTCTACCAGATGGGGATTAACCTCCTCATTACTAACAATCCCTTCCCCCCTGAAGTTCCGGGTTCCGTATGCAATATGCATGATGCAATAGTTATAAAATTATATTTTAATAGTAACTTTAACTATGTCCAGAGGCACCGTGGAAGGACAAGAATATAAACTTAGCGTTGTACAGCAAGAAAGAGCTGTCCAAACAGTTCCGGCTCTTCTGGAGGATCCTGAAGGAGGACGACGAAATAGAAGTGGTGATGATGGTGAACGGTACGACGTATGCTGGTAAGTTGGTCTTCTCTATCTGTCATCTAGCCTGTTGAGGTGTGTTTGCATGTTTTGGTTTCAAGATTCTTTTTTAATGGCTGATAATGGAATGGTAACCCCGCCTGCACTATCTGTGTTCGCTGGCGGACACCAATAAGAGACGGTAAGTGAGGATGAAGCCAGTCAGTTGGCCCATCGTGACAAATTCACCAAAAATTAACCACGATGGTTTCCAAGGGGAACCGCGTGGAGCTCGACCGGTTTTACTAACAAACCCATAGATAAAGGGTTGGATATGACAATAAAATTATAGGTAGAGGCATAACGTAGACCTTGGGAATGGCAAAACGTGAAGCTACCATGGGTATCATAGTGTATTCTCTCATATCTATGATGCTGTTCAGGTGTGTAGGGTAACAGTTATCATTTTCCATCAGGCGGAACGCTTAGTTGCTATATTAAGTATTATAAAAAGGACTATTAAGGATTTTTTATGCAACGTGGAATGGTAAACAAGCTGGCGGCCCACTTGATGGAAAATGGTAACCGTCATGGATACAACCAAGTATACTGTATCATCCATGATCTCTCACGCGTTGACACTCCTAAGAACTAAGGCGTTATGCCTCTGTAACCTGTAATTTCATTGCTATATCTCACTCTTAAACTGAAACATAGCCATGCTTCACATGCTTCTGCTTCACAGCAGAAATACGAATGGGGCAGAGGCACCCAAGCAGACTATTGTATAAAGTCTCCCTTTGGTATGGTACACATTACAAAATAACCAATCTAATTCATAGACGCATTGTGACATATAAATCATTAACATCTTTTCAAATGATGAAAGTGTATATTTCCCCCAAAGAAACGAAGGTCGAAAATCTTTAAAAATTTTGATCCTTCCATATTAGCACGACGCGTCCAGCTGTGAAGTATGATGGGGGTCGGCTTATAGTTTTTTTTTTTTACGAAATTAAATTATTTTACGGAAGTCCATTTTATTGATTAATAGAGTCATAATATTGTGTCATTGTCTTTCATGCTCTTAAAAATTCTGATCTCTACCTATATATGTCTCAATATTATGTATTCACTATGTAAATATAATGCTTAGGTATATATACAATAATATAACAATAATTAAAAATAGTTACTCAATGTTTAGAGATGAGAGTGACAAAGTGACGAATTCTTTTTCAGCTGTCGGATGGAGACCGAGCAGTTTGACAAAACAGTGCAAGAATTTCCCAGTGTTGGGACCGTCCAATGAAGATAAACGTACGTATTGTTTGAAAATAAAAGCTTACTTACATTTTAAAAATATATTTCTGAATTTTATTTTATTTTTTAGCGAGTACGCTAAAACCTGAACCATTACCTGAGCCGGAACCAAAAGCAGAACCTGAATCGGTTCCAGAACCTAAATCAGAACCCGAGCCTACACCGGAACCAAAAGCCGAACCTGAACCAGCCCCAGAACCAAAATCCGAACCCGAACCTACCCCAGAGTCAAAATCCGTACCAGAACCCACTGCAGAACCTAAAGCCGAGCCGACTGCAGAACCAGAACCCAGCTCCGAACCTGAACCCACGGCAGAACCTAAGCCAGAACCCGAACCAGAACCGGAGGCAGAACCCAAACCAGAACCAACGACACGTGCTTCTGTTGAGAGTGATAGTAGAAATAAAAGAGTGGCGATGCATTCATTAGACGGTTTTGATTTTAAGAATCTTGGAAATGATGTGACTGTAAAAACCAGTATATCTTACAAGGTGTCCAGCTCCAAAGGTGAGATTTAAAAAAAATTAATGAAATTAATTTATGTTAAACAAAGCATTATATATTTATTAATGTTAATACAATATCATTAATTTAATTATAATAGAATTATGTTACTTAAATAATGCTAAACTTTATTACGATAAATGAAATAATTAATTTCAAATTACTAATGTATGGTGATATATATAATATTCTATTGCATCAGAGTAATTTGTTAAAGTTTATAATACTATGATTAAAATTTTAATATAAGTTTAAAATTAAGTAACTACAATAATTCATATTAATCTTTCAGGACGACGCAAACGTGCTGCACAAAATGCAAAAGAAAGTGAGTTAAAAAAAATTGGTTTAAAAAAAAAAATAACACACGATTACCAGTATTATCACTAGCAAAAGCCATACATGCAAGATAAGCACACTTTTTTTTAAATTGTTCATAGGTATTCAAACCTATAAACTAACAGCAGATTGTATACTAATGTAAATATAATTTTGCATGGTTCCATTATTTTTACAGATGTGGAAACTACGACCTCTGTTGTAGTCAATCAGCATGACATTAGTCCTAAACCAGAACCAGAGTCTGTCCCAGAACCTAGTTCTGAACCTGAACCAACCCCCGAACCAAAGTCTGAACCGGAACCAATAACAACAACAACAACAACAACGACAAAGCCTAGACCAAAATTCTCACCCAAACCAAAGTTTACACCAAGATTTAAACAATTTTTGCATTTAAATGCGTCTCAAAAACATTTCTTACAGTCTAAACTTGCATCAACTGTTGAATCTAAACCAGAACTTAAATCTGGACCGGAACCAACTCCAGTACCCAAATCTGAACCTGAACCCACCTCAGAACCCAAATCTGATCCCGAACCCACCCCAGAACCCAAATCGGAACGAGAGCCTACCTCAGAACCTACATCAGAACCGCAACCGTCTCCAGAACCTAAGTCTGAACCAGATCTATTACCAGAACCCAAATCGGAACCAGAGCTTTCTCGAGAACCTAAATCTGAACCAGAACCAGCGCCAGAACCTAAATCAGAACCAGAACCCACCCCAGAACCTAAGTCTGAACCAGAACCCTCCCCAGAACCTAAATCTGAACCAGAACCCGTCCCAGAACCTAAATCTGAACCAGAACCCGCCCCAGAACCTAAATCTGAACCAGAACACGCCCCGGAACCTAAATCTGAACCAGAACCCGCCCCAGAACCTAAATCTGAGCCTGAACCATCCCCAGAACCAAAATCAGAACCATCCCCAAAACCTAAAGCCGAAACGGATACCGACTCATTGCTAGTGAAGGGACTTAAAGAAGACGCAGGTAACGCACCACGCTTCGCACATTATTTTTTTGTACTTTCATTAAAAATAAGGACTGAAGGAACATTATTTGATATTCTTGTATAATATACATGTCACTTCACCCTGAAGTGACTTTTATGTCAAATTTAGAATAATTTAAATAATATTTGTACATTTTTAGAACTAATTTAACGAAATAATTTGTACTGTAATAAAGTAACAAACCCTTCGGCTTCCTAGACAAATTAGATGCAAGCGAAATTATAGGTAGATACGGTTTGTCGGCCTGAAAACAATTTTATTAAGGCACTATCTAATCAATAGGTAAATGGCCTATTTAACAATCATGTAAGTTTAAAAATAATTAAAAATTTTAATAAAAATTTTAATATATATATATATATATATATATATATATATATATATATATATATATATATATATATATATATATATATATATATATATATAACGGAATAAAAACTTTCCGAACTCTGTTGTAGATTTAAAAAGAAAAAAAATTGAAAATTGATCGAATTTTAAAAGTGTTTGTAAATTTTTTTAATTAAAATTGATTAGAATTTCATTTTGACAACATATTAATTTAAATTTGAGTATATTTTTCTTATTTTTAATGAAAGTATGTACTTAGTGAAATTATTTGTATAGCAATATGATAGCACTATGATTGAAACTTATTGGTTGTGGTATTTTAAAAATGTATATACAAATTTTAATATATAAAAAAATTATATTAATTTCATATAATATTAAATTAAATATTAATGTAATCTAATGTCTTGTGTCTTACAAATATAATCTCCTTTTGTTCTATTTTCTAAATACATACTGTTACTATATTCGGTTTTATTCTTAATTATGCTTTTTATAGTTTTCATATAAATTATTCTATCACAATTTTTTTTTTCTATTCATTTATTTAACGCCTTCGATGCTTGAGCTTGAAGTGAACTTGTTTTTGTAAAAAAATTTGTACAAAAGTCGATTGCTTGGGTGGGATATGGCGTGAATTTACTGGGTACACAGGAATAACGCCTGAGTCCTCAGGAATGGCAACGCATGGGGGGTATCATGGGCGAAACAGTATACTCTGTTATGTTCATGGTACTGCACATGTCTATAGGCGACGGTTACTACTTTCCATCAGGTGGGCCGTCAGCTTGTTTGCCATTATAAGTTGTATAAAAAAAAAAACACATTTTTTCTTATACAATTCGTCTTAAATGTTTTTTATTGTGTCCGTGTATATGATCTAATATCTAGATGGGGATTCGATAGCCAAAAATCGCTCTAAAAACGCTCAGCCGACTGTTGGCAGACGCGTCATTTTTCAATATTGAATGTTAAAATGTTAAATTTTTTATCGGAGTATATATACAGTCCTACACTCCGATAAAAAATTGTATGAAAACGATTTTACAAATTCGAGTATCACTTTTGCTTTGTAATCAGCAAGAGCTTTTTCAACTATAACCTATCCTTTTCATCCTTATACCTACTTCTATTGACTTTTAACTGACTATCCATTCTATCCTCTAGACATGTAACCAACATGAACTCGTCGAACAGTAAACACGTCTTCGTATGTATGAGTAAGAACAAGACGCCGAATAGCGCTATCTCATTTCATCTCGTGCATGTGATAGCGATAACGTGTCTACCTGTAAATGTTTCTTACTTGTCAAGAGAGCCTGACTTCTTTCTTCTTTCTTCAGTGTTAACACCATAACAATGAATAAATATAATTAATTTATATTTTTTTACAAATCTTCTTGTGTTTCTTTTCTACAATTACATTTACAATTTTTATTATCGGTGTGGTTCAGATTTCTAAAATATTAATATTGAATAATCATAATGAACTATTACCTTGGTGGTTCCTGGTTCAATGGTCGCGGGTTCGAATCCCGCATAACACTAATACAGTCTGGGTGTTTTCTATGTTTATTATGTATATTTATTGTGTATTTATATAAAAAAGTAAGTATTAAATTGTCTAATACCCATAATGCAAACTCATTAGGTCTACCATGAAATGTTTTCTGAAATTTCGAAGCCGAACGAGATTTAAATTTGATTTTAAAATTACATAATACATACCGTTTAAAATATTAAAAATGTTAAAATGTCGTTCCTTTCGACTTCTATGGTTGGATTTAGCCCAAACGAAACGTTAAGTCCCATTACTGAGCCGATTTCGGTATAACAACGACATAAAACACGAACATTGAGTCCGAAAATTAGGAATTTCATTTCACGGTAAACTTTTTGGTTAGTTTGGAACTAGATGGCGTCGTGTAACATTTTCCGTGTGTATTTCTTAATATTATAAGCTGGAAAGAAAAATTTAGAAGGAAATAAAAGCCGACTTTAGAATGTGCCCTTCATAGGGATACCCCATTTAGACTTTTTGAAAACTCTATCACTTCTTTTGGATTTTCTAGTAAAGATTTTAATGTCTCAATTATACTTCTTTACACCACTGCCTACCACATATATTTCTGGCATGAAGATAGAAGGTTCTTTGATAGTTTTGTACTAAATTTTATAAAGTTTCAATTACTATATAGAAAAATTTCATTCAGTCCAAAACTATGTTTAGAATTAAAATAATTTCACTACTTTATTTGGTCCTAAAGTCCTACTATATTAATTTTAGACATTTTAATTAACTGATTAATATATTAGTTGTATATAAATATATTATATTTTACAGGTCATTACCCCAGCCATGAGTACGTCCCCAAATTCGACTTTAACCCCATGGATTGCACCGACATAGTCATTGGTACCGCTCGTGGCAATTACCATAGGGTTTTGGACTATTACACTCGAGATAGGTAAGTTTGGAATGACTGGATACTAAATTATTCATTTCCATAGACATATATATATATATATATATATATATATATATATATATATATATATATATATATATATATATATATATATATATATATATATATATATATATATGTGTAAGTTATGCAAGTCAGTTGACCCACCATGTTGAATTCGACAAGAATTAACCATGATGGTTTCCAGAGGGAACCGCATGGAGGTTGGAGGTTGACCTTACAAGATATATTGCTAGCAATGAGGCTATTAGACCTCATTACTAATACCCTTCTCCCCTAATTAATATATTTTAAGGCAATTAAACAGATGACAACAGGTTCTGTTGAGCTAGCACCTGTGTTAGGGGGAAGAGGCTTTAGAGATGTTTTAAGATACTGGTATTTTTGGAATAACCAAGCAATATTGTATTATAAAAAAATATCAATTTTTTTTTCAAAATACCTATTTTATTTATTGACAAAAACGACCTTCTCAATTCCTAGATCAACCCCTCGTGTGGACACTTTCTGGGGTGGTCACGACGACATCACTGCAGCGTCAGGGTTCGAGGAGAACGGTGTCACAACCATCATGTTCAGGAAGAAGATTAAGGTGCAAATATAATAAATACTATTTTATATTTTGCTAGTCAGTTTTCCCAAGAGACTACAGCATGGGGTTCTTCAAAAGGGGGGTAAAGAGGTTTGTTCAGGGTCGGCAACGCGCGCGTAATTGCAGGCGTTCATAGGCTACGGCAACCGCTTACCATCAGGTGGGCCGTATGCTTGTTTGCCACTTCAGTGGTATAAAAAAAATACTTTACAATCAAATCTCAGTTGAATTATTTCCGACCAGATACGAAATTGTAACCTTCTAGAATAGAATATTCCTTCCTAAAAGATCAGTAACACACCTGTAATTCTGATGTACAGGGTGTTTATGGGCGGCGGTAACCACCAGAGGGAGACTTTGTACAAAAGTCGTTTGCTTGGGTACCTCTGTCCCATTCGTGTTTCAACCGTAAAGCAGTTGTGTTTGTATGGCTGTGTTTCGGTTTGAAGGGTAGGATATGGCGTGAATTTACAGGGTACAGAGGAATAACACCTGAGTCCTCAGGAATGGGAATGCATGGGGGGTATCATGGGCGAAACAGTATACTCTGTTATATCTACGGTACTGCTCATGTCTATAGGCGACGGTTACCACTTTTCATCAGGTGGGACGTCAGCTTGTTTGCCATTCTAAGTTGTATAAAAAAATGTTATAAAAAAAACAATGCTTGTATCATGTATCATGTATAGTATCATGTAGGTACTATAGTTCTAATTATAATAGCAAAATATATAGTTTCTAGTCTTAGATTATGCAAAAATAGGTCAACTCTTTGTCAGCTAATTGTCAAATTAGCTGACTCGTTTTTTTATCAGAGTTCTATAAACTTACGCACACAATGTATCTTTACGTATTATTTAATAAATAAAATGAGTGTATACACATTAAAAAATGCAAAAATTATAAGACAAGGTAAATATAGAAGTTATAAAGGAATCCCTTATAACTATTTATCACGCAAAATTGTATGAAAAAATAGACGTCCGCTTTTTTCGAAATATTTGTATGGAGACACTCTATCTATATAATCTAAGATTTGAACATATGAACCATGTTTATACACCCCCAAATTTGATGATTGTTCAGATTTTTGCTACTGGCAAAGATTCTGTTAATTTTTTTTATACTAAATATTAGTTTTGAACAATTTATTTGTATTTCTTTCATTTTATCTTAAAGATACAATTTAACAGTACTCGTAATGTATCGTTTAATTTGTTTACTCTACTGTACTGTACTGTACTGTACTGTATGTATGTTAGTACATTCATTAGCAATAAATATATTTTTATTTTCATAACATTTCCATGTTGGAAGTGAAAATAGAATTTTGATAGACTATTTTGGAGACACATTTCATATTCTTTTTTAATTTAATCAAATACAAAAAAAAATATAAAACTATTTAAAAAAAAGTCCTAAAAGTATCTATCTAAACAAAACAAAAACATTTTTTTTTTTTATTTTCTTTTTAGGCCAAAGAACCAACCGACCACTCGATAGTGGACGATCTGATGCACGTTATCTGGGCCCGTGGCCAGGAGCCAGGGAAGTACGTGCATTCCCCACCATCGGGGCTGGAGAAGGGCAGTGCTGCAGTCGGCGACTTCTACCGCCAGGACGAGCTCAAGTACCACGGACATGGGGGCCAGAGGGGAGTAACCAGGATCAACTTCTTTGGTGAGGATTTCGTAACTGTTTGCATAGATTATGATTTATACATGTTTCTTTGTAATTCAGTATGAACTATGTTAGATAGATAGACAGATAAATAAATTATTTGCATTACTTACAGCACACAAGAGGGAGACTTTGTACAAAAGTCGATTGCTTGGGTACCTCTGCCCCATTCGTGTTTTAACCGTGAAGCAGCTATGTTTGCATGGCTGTGTTTCGGTTTGAAGGGTGGGATATGGCGTGGATTTACTGGGTACAGAGTAATAACACCTGAGTCCTCAGGAATGGCAACGCGTGGGGGGTATCATGGGCGAAACAGTATACTCTGTTATGTCCATGGTACTGCTCATGTCTATAGGCGACGGTTGCCACTTTCCATCAGGTGGGCCGTCAGCTTGTGTGCCATTCTAAGTTGTATAAAAAAAAATATAAAAAAAACACAAACAACAATAGACATATCTGTGCCTCTAGTGAGATATAACTCAAGTAATAGCCTTTTTCTTTTTTAGGCTACTTTAAATAAGCAAATTTTTCTCTTTCGAATGGTATAAGAATCGTAACGATATCTTTAAAAACAATAGAGATAGTAAACATGTAAAAGGCTACAATTAACAAAATATTTGTGGTAAAAAAGTCATAATTAGAAATAAAACTACAATATTTTACAAAAATAGTGCCAAAACCCTTTAAACATGAATTTATTTTTGTGTAAAATGAATCAGTTCGATTTGAACCCTTTTACATCATTTATATCAATAGCGATTATTTTTTTATAGCGTACAATACACAACATTGTTTTTCTTGAATACTGCAATAAAATAGTTTTAATTCAACTTAAAACTATTTTCACATGATAATTTTAATATTTTTGTTAAGTGTGATTAGGTATAATAGAATTATTTTTAAAACTATAGGTTTTACACAAAAACCGATAATTTCATAAGAAAGAGGAGAAAAAATTACTATAAGTGCAATCATTGACTTGTTCAATTAGCAAATAATAAAAGCACCAGAATTTTTTTCTTTACTTAAAATAGTTTTTTGACTCTCCTGAAAAGTGGCCATTTTGAATTGAACCTTTTCTCATTAGAGGCACAGATATATGCACAGTGAAAAAAGATAAAAAAATACATGTACAAAAAAAAAAAACAAAATGCATAAAATAAGTAACAATTTTTCCCCTACATGCGTGTGCCACAGTAACATGAAATGGTCACAACTCAGCTTATTGCTTTGCCCTAAAAAGATATGGCGAATTTCCATATAAAATAATAATAAAAAAAAAAAAAGAAATATAGATAAAATACATCGTGTGTGTTCATTATATTCGCTATTATTTAATATTTTGTACTAAATAAATAAAAAATAAATGACAAATACCATTACAAGATTATATGTCTAGATATTTATATCATAGGAAAAGATTCTATTTTCCGCGCTTAGCCTCTCATTTGGGCCGTTGTGCGTATGAGTCGTGGCTAGTACAGCCAGCCCAGCTCCGCCCAGAAGCGCAGAAGCTTCCTGGGATCTTCACAGGCTTCATGGAGCTACCTCACCGTTCCGAGGATTTCTAAATGTTGATGGGCCACAGCCTCGCATTCCAGGATTACGTGAGCAGCCGTTTGTAAACCGATTTGGAAAGTTTTTTTTTACCTGAAGGGACTATACTTACAGATTGGTTACGGATATTTCGTCAAAATCAATCGTTTAATATATATATATATATATATATATATATATATATATATATATATATATATATATATATATATATATATAAAAATATATATATATATATATATAATAAAGATGTACAACAGGCGAGCTTAACTCTGTAAGAGTTCTCTTCCAGCAAACCCTGAGTGGAAAGGAGCATTAATTACCAGTGGGCAGTGTGCGTACAATAATAGAAGGAAACATAGATGTTTCTATTAAAAAATAATAAATATGTTTACATATATAAGTAACTCATACAATTAAAATCAAAATACATACATATCTGTATACAATAATACATATACATATATATATAAATATAAAATATCTGTTCACATACAAAATACGTACATATACATCTATCTATCTATCTATTTAAGAGCTGCGCTCTTGTCGGTGGTGCTCTTCCCACTCGCTACGATTTTCAGCGAGTCTCTTCACCTCTTGATACGACACGACACCAACTCCTTCCTTGATCTGCCTGATGTAACTATGTCTCGGTCTCCCTCTCCCCCTCCTTCCTTCTATCTTACCTTCTATTATAATACATAGACATAATAAGTTTATAAAGACAGAAGATGCTATTCATGTGAATTGAGGTGTTTTGCCTCCGTATCTTATAATTTCGCTGTTACTCCATATATTTTTGTTTACCACCACCACTTGCCATCCTGAAAATGTTGTCACGCTTGGCAGACAGGTTGACAGCTGCTTCAAACTATAATTAAGTACTTTTTTCGTTTACAGAAGAAGAGAAGAGTTCCATAACAGGCGGTGTACTACCATTAGCTGATAAATGTGGCGGGCAATGGAAGCTGCCGTCCAACTGTAATCCAGCTAACAACAGCTGCGACTACTACGCCTCCTGGGAGTATCTAGGACAGAAGAGAGGGAAAGACTCGGTCCGGTTCACTATCAAGACGAAACAAAGCAAGTTCTGGACGGGTATTGGATTTAGCAACGACAAGAAGATGGTAAGAAACTTTGATAAGAGTTTATTGAACACTGAAATCTGAATAACATATGACTGCCTAAGTTAATTTGTTTGTTTTTATGTGTATAGATTAGAATGGCGTTAAGCAAACACAAGTATCGAGTTATGATTTTTTTATACTACTACGATGGCAAACAAGCATACGGCCTGTCTGATGGTAGACGCAATTACCGTAGTCTATGGACGCCTGTAACATCAGAGACCCTTCAGAAGTCATAAAACGCTCTTTTTGAAGAACCCCATGCAGTAATCTCTAAGGAATTTTATTATTTCTTCAATCTAACCCACATTTTCATATCAGTCTTCAATTGTCCATTGCTGAACATAATCTCCCCCATAAAGGAGGGGGTTTTTACCATTACGTTCCCTTAGTCACTCTTACGACACATGCGGGGAGGAAGGGGTACTTTTTTATACAACTTAGAATGGCAGACAAGCTGACGGCCCACCTCATGGAAAGTAGTAACCGTCGCCTATAGACATGAGCAGTACCATGGACATAACAAAGTATACTGTTTCGCCCATGATACCCCCTTATGCGTTGCCATTCCAGAGGACTCAGGTATTATTCCTCTGTACCTAGTAAATTCACGCCATATCCCACCCTTCACCGAAACACAGCCATGCAAACACAACTGCTTCACGGTTGAAACAAGAATGAGCTCATTCAATGCCGGGACCACATAGCAAATTTACATATTAATGATATTTATTAATTTCAGTCGCAAACAGACGCGATTATTGGCTGGGTGGACGCCAGATCCGGGCGTCCCTTCATCATGGATACGTGGGTCAGCGGTTACTCCGCGCCGAGGGTCGACCAGAGACAGGACATTACCAAGGAGTCCGGCAGTTTGGTCGAGGGCTACACTACCCTCAGTTTTGTTAGGAAGAGGAACACGGGCGATCAGAAGGTAAGACAATAATGGTAATAAATATCGTAATAAGTAAATAATAATATTATTTTTTTAATTGTCTTAAAAAAGAAGCTAAGGTTATTTTTTGTATATCGTCTAATGCTATTTCCGATCAGCTCACAATTTTTTTTTAACCCGCTTTTTGAACGTTTTTTTTATTCATTTTTTATTGAATAAATTATTTTGTAAGATCTGTTCAATACATATAATAAAATCGTAACTGGTCACAGTCTGTACATGGAAGATATATAAGAAAAAACTATTATACCCCTATGACTTAGGCTTCATGAACGCAATAGAATCCAAAACAATGATTTTTAGAAGTTTTGTTTGTTTATCTGTACGTTTGTGCACTATAACATCGAAAACGGCTTAACCGATTTTTGTAACTTCATCGTTTGAGGACCAGGCTATTGGTGTATTGCTTCTTCTTCAAGATCCTTTCAGAAGTTCAGCAGTATTAGGACATTTTTGAACTAGGTTATGTAATGCATCCAAATTAATCCAGCAAGTTTTTTCTTTTATCATCTTAGAATGGCAAACAGGCTGACGGCTCACCTAATGGAAAGTGGTAACCGTCGCCTATAGATATCGGCAGTACCATGGACATAATAGAGTATATTGTTTTACCCATGATATCACCCCATGCATTGCCAATCCGGGACTCAGGTGTTATTCCTCTGTACCCTGTAAATTCACTGCCATATCTCACCTTTCAAACCAGAACACAGCCAGTTCTTTAACTGTAGGAGTTCCGCCTTCTCATGTTACTGGTTTTCTATTAGTCTATTTATTATTCCCAGGATCTAGCCTTCACAGATAGCCAGTGCTTGTACATGATGTTCATCACGCAAGGAGGTGGCTTCGACGCCGTCAACAAACGGACGAGCAAGCACCAGCAGACCCCAGTTGTTACTGAAAACAGAGTCTGCATTCAGCCGTGTGGTCCAGGTAAATAGGATAGAAATAATTTTAAACACGAGCATTTTTGAAACCCGATTTTGTTTTTTTTTTATGAATGTAAATGGAATGGTAACTCCGCTTGGGATGTCAGTAAGAGATGATAAATGAGAATTTAATTTATATATATTTTATTTATAAATAAATAAATAAATAATCTTTATTTCACTCTTTGTTACAATATAGTTTGAAGTCCTTAATTCCCGAGGTAGGTATGAAAATACCTGTGTTTCAGGAGTTAGTGCCCTCTCCCATATGTTGTTGTTTAACATTTTTAGTGAAAGAATATGAAACAGAGAAGTAACAAATACAAAAAGAAAAATTACAATGGAACCCATAATTTTAGAGAAACAATAATTTATGGGTTTAAAATTAATTGAATGAAAGCTAGGGCATTATGTTTTAAATATAACATTTTTCCATTTATTATACGTTTAGGACAAATATGTGTTATTAACTTTCACGTTTCACCTTTTAAAACCATTTTTTCTTCACAGAACCCCCTGAAGAAGAGGTGACCACGGAAGCTGTAATTCCTGGTGTGTCGGCCTACACAATGCTGATCCGTATAACAGGGTTAGCTGACAGCTTTAAGCCCCCAGCAGCCGGCAGTAAAGAGTACGAAGAACTGAGTCAACAGGTCATCAACAGTTTTGTGAAGGAATTGGGGAAGAATAAGGGGTACCATGGATTAGCTGTCAACGGGTTTATGCAGTAAGTGATTTAAATTTGGAATTTTTATTTTTTTTTAATCTGTTTTAAAGGTTATGACATCATAATTGTATTTTTAAGTAACTCGCTGAGTTTTTTGTTTTTTTGTGTTTTTTTTTTTTATGTAGGTATATCGCGTATCACGTAATACGATACTTAGCTAATTATAAATCGATTTCGATATTTTTACACAATCGATGGAGTTCATTCACTTGTTGGTTTCATAATAATTACTAGCGATTTGAACTGGCTTCGTACGAGTAACAAAAATCTATATGTTAAATAAAAAAGTTTTAGCTAATTCAACTGATCGGTTATTTTATAGCATTTTATATGTTTTTTGAGGAATTAAATCTAATTTTTTTTATCTAAATTTGTTAAACTCGTCGTAGTGATATCAATTTGCAAGATATTGAAGTGTTGTTCATTTTCTTTTATTTTTTCAAATTTAAGCAGTTTCTCAAATTGGTTCTATTTTTTTTTTGTTTGTTACCTCATAACTCCGTTAATTGTAAACCGATTTCGAAAATTCTTTTTTTATCTGAAAGGATATACTTACAGATTTGTCCCATTAAAATTTTATCAAAATCGCTGTAGGGTTTAGTTTTTAAATCAAAACTAACTGGTTTTGCCATAATTGAAGTCGGCTTCTTGTCGTGGAATACAACTTATTTCTTATTTCCATATAGGTTTAAATTACTGTCAAGTTTTATAATTAACTATATTTATTTCAGAAATGAAACAAGTGCCATAATCGCCGAGCTCACTCTAAAATCGATCGATTCAAATACAATCGAAGGTTCGAGCGCCCGGTCACTAGATGCCACTAGCTCTGTCACACCAAATGTAACTGAGGGAGATAGCGATATGGAGAAATGGCAGAGGGTAGTGAGGGACACACTTGCGCAGGGGAGAGTGGGGAATTTGAATGTAGATCCTGAGTTTTTGGTGTTTGAGCCGCTGAGTTGTGAGTAATTTTTTTTTATTATTTATGAGTATATTATACTCGTATGTTTATTTCGTTGTTGCATACTTTTAAGCGAGTATAGGCATGGGTTATATGGGTATCGCTCCGATATCTGTATATTGAGTTCCTCTAGACATTGTTGGCGGAGAAATAGGTTCATGGGAATGGAATCAATGGGAAATTCATTTCTAAATCACACATACAAGTTGGATATCTACATTTATTCTGGGTTCTTCATTTCGATACTGTATATTGGATAACAGATATTTATTATTGGGCCGATATATAGATATTATAATCAAAATATATAGATGTTCTCATATATTAATTACCACTAAACGAGATATAGTCCTCAGTTTGGTCTTAATAGAAGATCTAAAAAAAATATTTTCTCAAACATGCTTGGAAATGTGAGCATTATTTTGACAATCTTCTTCGAGATAAATCAAAATTGCCGTACTGGCCAGACACATGCGGGCAGCGGCCGGCAAAAGTTGTATGAAAATCCATATCTGTCGTGTTTTGCGGCCAGATAAATTACTATGTAAACTCATATCTGTCCTGTAATTTAAAAATGGAATGACCTTTTTCTTCAAAACATAGCTACCAAGGAGGTAACTAATAAAAGGTTTTATTTAAATTTCGAACTGGCTTGCAAATAGAAAGAAGTTTATTGAAAAAAAAAAACAAAGGAACATTATGGCGCGTGAAAAATTATTATTGTTCGTTATTCGTCCTTGAACTTAAAAAGTAAAATTGTGTTTTTGATTTCCGCGCATTATTTGAGAAAAGTACTATACAAGCCTTGGCCACAACTAGGCATTGATGGACTCACGTATGTGTGTCTCGGCTACGCCTCGGCCCACATTTGCACCTTCGTCCATCAATGCCTCAGTTGCTATCGGTATACGCTGGCAGAGTACCAGTAAAGAATGACAGATGAGGATGAAAGCAGGTCAGTTGGTCCATAGTAATTAATTGAACAAGAAATAACCACTATGGTTTCCAGGGGGAGCCGCTTGGAAGTTAACCTGATAAGGTATATTGTTAGCAATGGGGTTGTTAAATCTCATTTTTAACAATCTCCCCCCCTCCCCTCCAGGCAACTGCAGTTAGGCTTTTAGTGATGTTTTAAGAGGGACGCTGTTGCCCATCTGTTGACCGTTCCCTGAGTCGCTTCTTACGATACCCACGGGAAAGTAGGGGTGGCTTGTGCTATGCTGGGACCACACAACATTTATTATGTTAGTAAGGATTAAATACAGTTTACAATATTTGCAGTAACATCGAGTCGTCCTACCGAGAGTGGTGGCACGGGCAACGCTCGCACGTTCTTCGGGCTGGCGGAGACCAAGCTGTACGTGGTGGTGGGGTGCGTGGCGGCGCTGGTGGCGGTGGCGCTGCTGCAGGCCGCCTGCACGCTGCACCGCGGCCGGGCTGCGGCGCCCGCGCCCACGGGGAAGGTTCGTACCGTTGCTTTATACAGGGGGAGAGGGGTGAAACGAATGTTGTAATAAAAAAAAAATAAAAAAAAAACACAAAGGGAAAAGAGCAACCCTTATATTAGCCACTTCTGCAAGAGCACCAGAGGAAGAAAGAAGATGCCACGCCGACATACACAGACCACCCGTGTATGTCGGCTTAAAACCTCGTGACCCAGAGGTGTTGAGGCCGTACAAAGGGGTACGCCCCAAGGCCCCTACCTTGCCCGCCCACACCATCTGGCGGGCAATGAGAAGACTCTGATTGATTGATACAGGTTGTAAGAGACAGGTTAGCAAAAACTGAAACAGTGAATTCAGAACATTATTCTAACCCGAAAGCCAGTGGAAATTCTTTATGGAAAATTTTAATTTTTTCCTCTATTTTCCTCACTTAAAATCATGTAATCTATGATATTGTGTCATAATATAGAGAAATAATAATATTTTATAGTGACATACTATGAAATACCAAAAAAACGTATCACGCGTCGTATGCATCGTAAAATTTCATATACATTGCGCGGCGTCAAAACTAAGAATCGTTAATTATATGGCTGCGGTGCATTTTCGGTGGGAAAATAATCTGCCATCTGATTCAGGCCGCTCATCTGGATCGGCTGTTTTTGTTTCGGCCAACCTGTCGCTTACACCCTGTATAAATTTATATACTTATAAACACGGAATTTATATTCTTCAATTTCCTTTGTGTATTACAGTAGTTTTTAATTTGACCCACGACTTCGTGTTGTAAAAATTCTATAGTCATTTTTATTAATGTTTTATAATCAAAATATTAAATACAAAAATATAACAATATAATAATTTATCTGACAGTTTTCTATTCTCTTTTAAACTTCACAAAATACAGACATTTTATTATTTATCGAACTGAGCTTATTATTTTCAATACTTCGCCTATGTTATAGGGATATGAGTAACCTATTATGTCCTTCTCCAATCCAGTTATGGTGTAAATGTAATAAATTTGTGATAATTGGTTGAGTTGTTAAAGTGCTGAAAGGTAATAACAAACAAATTAATTATCCTAAATAATATAGATAGATTGTTTCCATAGAAATGTTTTGAGAAAAACAGGTCAACTTTTTAAGACAATTTTGCGCGATAAACAGTTATGGGTGATTAATTTATAACTTCTATTTTGTTTTTGTTTATGAGGCTCGATGCTCTATCTATTATAATCTATTTAATTACCTTTATGTTTAAGTTCCAGTACGGTAAGAATTAATTTCGATTTCAAGTTGAAATTTAGAAGACATGTTTTTCAAATTTCGAATGTGATGTGGCAGGATATAGGTATCCTCGTCAAATGAATTTCAAATATAGAACACCTATTTTTTTAATTCTATTTGTGACGTAAAAAAAAGTTCAAATGTAGAACACCTTTTCTTTTAATTTTAATTGTGACATAGATAAATTCCTCGTCAAAACGTGAATTTCAAATATAGAACAATATATTTCGAATGGCAGGACCAGCTGATCCCGAACGCGGCATGGAAGGAGTACTCGGCGTCGAACACGAACTACGCGTTCGAGCCGTTCGAGAACGAGGAGCGGTTCGGCGGCGGCACCGCGTCCACGGCGGCGGCGGGCCGGCGCGCCGCGCGCCCGCCCGGCCCGCCGCCGCCGCGCCCGCACCACGCCGACAGGCACGCGCACGCGCACGCGCACGCGCACGACAAGGTACGCCGGGGGCGGGGGGCGGGGCGCGGCGGGCGGGGGCACTCACGACACTCACGGGATAGGCAGGGCTGGCTCATTGTATTGAAATTGAAATAATTTATTTGCTGGAATAAGGTACATTTTTATAGGTGTTACTTTACAAGAAAAATAGTCCAATCTTATTCTGCCACACTGTAGGCGTGCAAATATAAAAACTTGTTAAGCAAAACATTAAAATAATTTCATCATAATAACATATGTACATTTGCAATAAAATTTATGCCGGGACCACACGGTGGGTAACCTTGGCTAATAGGGAGGAATGGGATTGTTAGCAATGATGTTTGACAACCCCATTACTAGCAATATGCCCTATTAAGTCGCCTTCCACGTGGTTCCTCCTAAAAACCATCGTAAACAATTCTTGTTGAATTCATCACGATGGACTAACTGACCTGTTTCATCCTCACCTATCATCCTTCACTGGTGCCCCGCCGGTGCATACCGATAGCGCGGGTGGGTTACCACTCCATTATCATCTCATTAAAAAAGCTGATAACGGGAATACGGTAGCTCTATTGCAAGCATATACCTTATTGTATCAATCCCCACGCAGTTCCACCTAAAAATTATCGTGATTCCTCTTTTTCTTATTGGCCGTTAATTGTCTATTGCTGACTATAGGCTTTCCCTAAAAGGATAGTTTTGCCAGTAGTTGCCACGCTTGGCAAACGGGTTGGCAACTGCAGTTAGACTTTTGATGATGTGTTAAGAAAGACGGTGATGTCCTTTCTTTAACCGTAAACCCTTAGTCGCCTCTTACGACACCCATGAGAAAGGAAGGGGTAACATTGCAGTTGCCAATCTGCCCGCCAACCATGGCAACTACTAGTAAAACTCTCCTTTATGGTGGAGGCCTAACGCCTGTTATGATTATGATAAGTACATCCTAAGCATTAAAGTCTATTCTGTGATCCTCAAAGTGCTATACGTATCTGTAAACATGTTCCTTCGTTGTAAACATCACCTGTAAACATCATCCCATTCGTGTTTCTACCGTGAAGCAGTTGTGTTTGCATGGCTGTGTTTCGGTTTGAAGGGTGGGATATGGCGTGAATTTACTGGGTACAGAGGAATAACACCTGAGTCCTCAGGAATGGCAACGCATGGCGGGTATCATGGGCGAAGCTGTATACTCTGTTATGTTCATGGTACTGCTCATGTCTATAGGCGACGGTTACCACTTTCCATCAGGTGGGCCGTCAGCTTGTTTGCCATTCTAAGTTGTATAAAAAAAAGTAATTTTTTTTTTTTTTTTATTAAATTAACGGTAAAGGAACACTAGTAAACTACCAGTGAATGATGATAGGTGAGGATAAAGTTAGATCAGTTGGTCCATCGTGATGAAATTACTAGGAGTTTCAATCACGATAATTATCCAATAATATGTGCGTACAACGAATAAATACGAATTATAATTTGCAGCAATCGACAAACGGCCACAAAATGTCGGCTAACGGAAACAAAATGGCGGCCAACGGGACGAATGGACGCAGTACGCCGAAACACAACAGCGCAGCGCAGTACTACCACGAGACGCGCTCGTTGCAGCGGCCCAGAGGACAATACGGGTAAATTTTAAAATATATCTAATCATTCATTCTTTCAGCCATTTTGTTTAATGGATGATAATGCAATGGTAACTTCGCCTGTACTAACGTAATACGCTGGCGAAGCACCAGTGAGGGATGACAGGTGATAATGAAAAGGCAGGTCAGTTAGCCCACCGTGATGAATCCACTTGGAGACTTTGTACAAAAGTCGATTGCTTGGGTACCTCTGTCCCATTCGTGTTTCTACTGTGAAGCAGTTGTGTTTGCATAGCTGTGTTTCGGTTTGAAGGGTAGGATATGGCGTGAATTTACAGGGTACAGAGGAATAACATCTGAGTCCTCAGGCATGGCAACGCATGGGAGGTATCATGGGCGAAACAGTATACTTTGTTATGTCCACGGTACTGCTCATGTCTATAGACAACGGTTACCACTTTCCATCAGGTGGGCCGTCAGCTTGTTTGCCATTCTAAGCTGTATAAAAAAAAGAACACAATGGTTTTCAGGGGGAACCGAAAAGGGGGTATAATGGGACTACTAAGGGGTGAAAGGGATTGTTAGTTATGGGTCTAACTGACCCATTGCTAGCAGTACACCCTATCATGTCGACCTCCACGCGGTTCCCCCTGGAAAACACCGTGGTTAATTCTAGTGGAATTTGTCACGATGGTCTAACTGACCTGCTTTCATCCTCACCTATCATCTCTCACTGGTGCCCCGCCGGTGTATACCGATAGCGCAGGCGGGGTTACCATTCCATTATCACCCATTAAAAGAAATGGGACTACTAATCTCCATTGTTAATAATTTCTCCCCTCCCACCCCCCAATTTCAGACGTTATCTGTCTAATGCTGAACATAGGCCTCCCCATAAAAAACAGTAGCGTTCCTCCTGGCAATTTACCATTGGGGAGATTTTGCCAGTAGTTGCCACGCTTGACAGGCGGGTTGGCAACTGCTGTTAACCTATCCTTGTACTATATATATTGGGTACTATTGTCCCACTTGCGTTTTGATTGCAACGATGGGATATCGTAATGAAATGACGGCATCAAGCCATAATATCTCATTCCTCAGGAATGGTAACCCGTTACGTAGTACAATGGGCGTCACTGTGTATACAGTGATGTCTGTATGCTCTTTACGCCTATGGCGGCGATGGTTAACACTTTTCATCAGATGGAACACTCAAGGTCAATTAAAAAATGGATTTATTTCAAATGTGAAGAAAATATCTAATCAAGGAATTTGTTGATATTACTTGCACAGTGTAAGGAGTCACAGTATAAGGTACAATAAATGAATGAGTTGTTTGATCTGTGACATTGATTTGCTAGTGAATTTTTTTTTTTTTTTTTTTTTTTTTTATGCAACTTAGAATGACAAACAAGCTGACGGCCCACCTGATGGAAAGTGGTAACCGTCGCCTATAGACATGAGCAGTACCATGGACATAGCAGACTATACTGTTTCACCCATGATACCCCCCATGCGTTGCCATTCCTGAGGACTCAGGTGTTATTCCTCTGTACCCTGTAAATTCACGCCATATCCCACCCTTCAAACCGAAACACAGTCATGCAAACACAACTGCTTCACGGTTGAAACACGAATGGGACAGAGGTGCCCAAGCAATCGACTTTTGTACAAAGTCTCCCTCTGGTAAAAATTAAAGTCGATTAAAAATAATTGTGGGTACATTTACATAAGTCATGGATCCATAATATGCAATTCTAATATTTGGCTATTTAATATAATTTTTACTGAATTTTAAACGGAATTTGTTGCCTTTATTTTGTATTTATATATATGTTTATGTATTATGTTTATCAATTGTAAACCGATTTTGATGTTTCTTGTTTTAATTAAGAAGGTTAAGTAATTATTGTATTAAATTTGTTAATATTGATATTGGTCATGTTTTGAAAAAAAAAAACTTTCTAAATATTACAAAAATATATTCCTGATGAAAATAAAAGCCAATGAAAGGGTTAAAAGCCTATATTTGATGTGTTTCGTAATTTTAAAACTCACTCAATCTGACCGTGTGGCCTAATGGATAAGGCGTCGGACTTCGGATCCGAAGATTGCAGGTTCGAGTCCTGCCACGGTCGAAGCTTTTACTTACTGAGCTTATTTTTTGCATAACGTTGACTTTATTTAACTACAGATTTTCTATAATTTAAAAAAAAGAAATTAAGAAATAGTTTTATGTAATTATGTTTCTATTAGATTATAAATCTAACAATGTAGTAGATTTTTTTATTTTTAAACTAGTAGTCCTCCGTGGCTTTGCACGCGTGAATCAGTACATAAACTATCTAATATGTTAAATTAGGATATAACCTACCCATGTACCAAATTTCATTTAAATCTGTTCAGTAGTTTTTGCGTGGAAGAGTAACAAACATACATCTGTAAACATGTATCCTTAAAAACTTTCGTATTTATAATATTAAGTAGGAGTTAAGCTAAATTTTAAAATAAAAATAAAAAACCTATATTTTAATGTAAGCATTTAAAAAAATGTTTTTGAAGCGTAATTGATCTTTTTCTAGATTGGTCAGGCAATGGTCGTTTCATCGTACAGCCTAATCTTATTTTAATAGTTTCTAATCCGAATACGTTATAAAATGAATAAAGTCATTTCTTAAAAATATCCCAAGAACAACAAAATTACATAGAAGAAATGAAAAAAACTGTAAATCACACAGTTGCCTCCTTTCTTCTTATGCAAATATAATTAGAAAAAATCGGGACGAAATATACACCATGAGTTGCTATTTTTGTCAATTCCTGGCAGGCTAGTGTAAAGAATAAGTGTATGTAAAATTTTTGTTCGGTTACATTAACTAGATTATATATTCGACACAGTTTATGTAGAAAGTATGCAAGCAGGTTGTATCTGAATTTGGTAGGGTTATACGGCCGTGTAACATTTTCTATACACTAGCCTGTTCATCACTCATCTAAACAAAGGCATCAGGTAGGAACTAATATATATATATATATATATATATATATATATATATATATATATATATATATATATATATATATATATATATATATATATATATATATTTATATTTATACAACTGAGAATGGCAAACAAGCTGACGGCCCACCTGATGGAAAGTGGTAACCGTCGCCTATAGACATGAACAGTACCATGGATATAACAGAGTATGCTCTTTCACCCATGATACCCCCCATGCGTTGCCATTTCTGAGGACTCAGGTGTTATTCCTAGCAAGCTTCCTATTCGCTAGCAAGGTACTAGTGAGGGTTGCTGCTTCACGGTAGAAACACGAATGGGACAGAGGTACCCAAGCAATCGACTTTTGTACAGTCCTCCCTCTGGTATATATATATATATATATATATATATTGCACTTGTTTTTCATTCATTCACACTTATATAATATATATACTTAATGTAAGTGTATTTAAATATTGTGAGCAAGGGTGGACTTACTCTTAGATCTTTTCCAGTCAACCCAATACAGTTGGAAAGCATGTCTTTAGCGGACAGTTAAAAACATGCTTGCACGAGTGTTATACTAATCAGAAAGCTGTATTTTTCACAATTAAATTATTTGTAACAGTAAATTTAACATTTCCAGTTATAACGGCCGTCCGGACCGGGCGACGTACTCGCTGCCGCGCGGCGTCCGGGAGTCCGGACAGCCGGGCTACCCCGGACACACGACCCTGTCCGCACAGCCGGACTTCTATTTCATGCCTTCGCAGCGGAAATACGAAGGTGAATTTGTCAGGGTTTATGTAGATTACAGGGACAGAGATATGGGGCTTGACTAGTTATGAAAGCTTAAAATAACTATGTAGATATAGGGGGCGACTCTGTGGCACCCTTCTTTGAACTAAATCTATCTCTAAGTATCCTGAAACTATTATTTTATGGGCCATTTTAAAATTACCGCCTTATTCATAAAAACATCAAATCTCTTACAAACCTGATTTAGTTATAGAACTGTTTTGTCTCATCTTTTTGTGCTAAATTTTCAATTTGAAAGAAGGCAGAGCAGTCGGGCTCGTGTTCGCGTCATAGTCGCTTGTTACGATCACGAATTGATTCCGAAACTAGTTGAGCTGTTTCGATTTATTTATACGTAAGTTAAACCGGTAAATATTAAATTGAAAATATAATGTGTGCTTACGAAGCTTTAAACAATAAAATTTGAAAGAAAGTGACAAAACAGTTTAATAATATATATATATATATATATATATTTATATAGATTTTTTTAATTTTAGGGGTTTTTACCTGATATATCAGCCCTATAGTACCCTGACAAGTTTTATTTTTTATGATAAGGGGGTAAGGTTTAATAATTAATTAATAATTTTGGCTTAATTCTATTAAATATTTACTACATATTGGCTCCGAGAATAAAAATTTCAGATTAAATGGAAATTTTAACTTTAGAGATGGATTTAGTTAAAGAAACGATCCAATTGTCCATTTTAATAGAATTTAATGAAAAGGTAAACAAAAAAAAAAATTGAGCCGATCATAAGACAGTCTAATGATGTCCAAGATGTCCAATAGATATAAAAAAATCCATGTTGTTGTTATATTAGCTATTAACTGTCCACTGCTGAACACAGCCTTCACCATAAAGGGGGGGGGGCGGAGGTTGCGAGTAGTTGCCACGCTTGGCAGGCGGGTTGGCAACCGCAGTTTGGCTTTTGGTGATGTTTTAAGACAGACGCTGCTGCTCATCCATTAGGCCTCCTTAGTCCCCTCTTAGGACACACACGGGAAAGGAAGGGGTGGCCTTTTTCAGGGCCTACACCGCTTAATCCTTAAATACCTGAAGTTTCAAATTTGATACCGGGGTTATACATCGCATTGGGCGCCTACAATCGATTTTATTTTAATATTTGGCTGTTACCAAATGTTTTTTTCAAAATAAATATATAAAAATATCATTTTGATTTTTATACTATTTTTCCCCATTAGTAAACACAGTAAAGGGTACACTTATATATTTTTTAATTTGATTTAAAAATCAGGCTTTTAAGGGTTAAAAAACCATGAACTCTTTGAATGTTTCGATTTTTTACTAATTTAATTTAAGAGTGTTTTTTTTTTGTAATAATTTCAACAATATTTTAAATATGCAATCGGGACTTAAAAGTAAAAGTCGACGCTCCGACGTGGATTGCACCACGTTGTGGTCGCGAAACGTCGGCAATAAAGAAGATAGATAGACAGACAATTTATTTACATTACTTACAGCACACAAATTACAATAAAAAAACATACACATAATACACAGTAAAAGAGATAAAAGAATTAAAATAAAAAAGCAACAAAACAAAAAAAAAAACAAAATATATAACCTAACAATTTCCTTTCTTTATTAGCAGGTATTTTCCTTTCTTTATTTATTTCTGTGGTACATAAACAGATAACAAACATAACTTTTAACAATAGAATACAACAATAGCATTATAAGTTTGCAATCCAATTATAGATGAAACAGAATAGGTTGATTTTTAATACAAAAAGAATAAATGATAAAAACTACATACAAAATAAGGATCAAAAACAAAACTACCAATGTATATTTATGTATATGTATATGTGTTAGTATGTGTGTGTGTATATATATATATATATATATATATATATATATATATATATATATATATAATGAGTAGGAATAATATTTATATTATTATATGTATCACATCTCCCATATTTAGAACTAACAAAATTTTTCATCGTGCCTCCCACCAAATTGTTTATAATTACTCCTCTCCATCCAAAGGTTGCCTGGAAGAGATCGCTCTTAGCGATAAGGTCGCCCATTGTTTTCTCATTGTAATTATTTCTTGTAATTATTTATATTTATAATAAGTTTACTATTGTAATCTTTTGGAGGAAACAATAAAGAGTATCTATATATCTATCTACCAAATTATGCTTATAAACTATTGGGTTATCAGTGCATGTAAAGTGCTTCGAAACGATGAAAATTTCTAATGTGGTATGTAGGTACTATATACCTGTAAAGTCTTTTTCATCGCGTTAAGTCCCGATGTGAAGTGTATTTAAAATATGTGTAAACAACGCTAAAGTTTAAAATTAACTATTTTCAACAATATTTGGTTACCTTTTTGTTAAGTTCTACTAAAATAGACAACGGTATGGATTGAACTTCGAAGAAGTATAGTTTTATAATACTACGCAAATTTATTTAAAACTCCATTTCAAATACGTAAATATGGCTGACACATAAATTTTTTATTTAAAAAATTATCAAGTGACTTAGATGAAGTTGTTGTAAATTATTAATCTATACATCTCTATATTTTATTATCTGTACATTTATATATGTAAAAAAAAGTTATTAGAATATTCTGAATTCTAATTTGGAATATTAGAATTATTATGTTCTATTGCAAATATTTTTTTTAAATACTATAAAAGTAAAATAATTAATAGGCCAGTATCATAGATTAAAATAGTGAATGAAATAGTTTTTGTTTTGTTTTTATTTTGTTTTGTTTCTTTTTTTTTATTATTCACACATACAATTTTATTTGAAATGGAGTATAGATTATTTTAAAGAGAAAGCAAATTATACAGAGTGAAAACGAAGTCAATAGCATTCTTTAAATCTTTTATTTACCAGTTAAATTCAACGATTTTCCGAGACAAATGTTGACGAAAATCGATCAGCTGTAAAAAGCGGGAAAAAATTCAGCAGTTTCTCTAAAAAAAAAAAGTTAAAGATTAAATTGATACATTGACATTACAAATATCGTCGATATTTCGATAAAGCCTACGAGGGTTTTAGGTACGACACATAAATGTATCTTTCTGTATTGAATAAGTACATTGAATAAATTGAGAAAAAAAAAATGTTATACAAAATTATAAAATTATCGAATGAACGTGAACGCATCCGTAAGCTAAATCTTTGTTCAACTCACACTAGGTACTTACGAGAGCCTAGTGTGAGGTGCGCCTCTAGCGGATAGTTCTAGAATTTTCTTATATAAACTTGGATACATGCTAATGATTCCGATTCCAACCTGTATAATGATAGAACATAATTTTTACAAATTATCTATGTACATTAATAATTCCAGAATTAAAATAATAAAGAATAATTATTATAGGTAGTTAAGTAATAATTATGGCTGAAAGCTTTAAGCAAGACTTAATTAGTGCAATAAAATAGATAAGTATTTTGCTTATATTGTAATTATGTGCCAGTAATAGAACTAATATTAATAATATGTATGTATGTATGAAGTGATTTTGTGGTTATAGAATAATTTGGTACAAATGGGATACTTAATAAAATATAACTTAAAATAAATTTATTGCATTATCAAATTTATGTAACATAATTTAATTATGTAGTTACTTTTATTAACTTTATATTTAATAAGCTTTTATTATAATATAGCATAGGAATGCAGCTAGATTTTAATATAAAAAAACTGCTGTGAGCTTGTTGCTGATTTCAAGTAGTTTGTTTGGGGAATTGATTTATTTTGCTTTTTTTTTTAATTATTATTTTTCTATGGTTGTGTTATAAAGTCATCTAGTGGTAATACTATTGTTAATGCTAGATGGCGCTATATCTATTTTTTTTATGGAAACTTATAGAGTTTAAGAATGAAGCGCTAAATACTTGTGTCTAAACCAACGAGACTTGTTATAATAGATTATCCATTTCACAATAACAATTTTAAAAGATCTTTATTTTAAATTATTTAGAAAAATTATTTATTTAAATATTTTTGTTATTTAATGAAATTATTGTAAATGTAAATACAGTAACTCGATTACAATTATTAGATACGTTTTAAGATTGTTTAATTCTTGTAATAATTGTAGAGAATTTTATTGTTGGTTGGCTTTTTTTCTAATATTTTACTAAGTTGCACCATAGTGTAATATTTAATAATGCTTTATAATATGTAATTTGCACTTAATATAGTTTGCATATTTCACATATAATTTTATTTACCTTAGTTATTTTATTTGTATACATATTGGTTTTATAGATATACTAACATTTTGTAGTTGCATTATAGATAACAACTATTTTATTTTTATTTTATTTTTTTTTTTATTAATAACAAATAAAAATGTGATTGGAAATAAAAATATTACTATATTTCACTGCATTTTAATATTTTATTTTATAATTATTTTAATTACGGTTCGGGTTTTATATACTCTTATATGAAATTATTATGTAAATAAATTGTACAGTCCATTGTATATAAGATATGTAATTTATTATAAATAATTTCTTTTTTTTACAGATTTTTGATGGACACGATGAAGATATTTTAAGTTACCAATAGATAACAGATTTTTAACTAAGCACCGAACAATTGTACCTTCTAAGATATATTTTTCACATATATTATAAAAAAAAAAAAAAATATTTATTAATTTTCCAAACCGGATCTAGTCTCATGTCACAGTTTTAAAATAAGTTATTTCACACATTAATGTTAACAATTAAATATTCTATATTACTTCTATAAATGTAAATATTTTTTTTTTAAATATTTAATAAGTTAACTCTCTCGCTGTATATTGCATTTTAGGCGACGTATTAATAGTAAACTTTTGTTAAAATGTTATGTCTTGTAAATGTAGGCACTCTGTAAAATTATGCTACACAAAGTTTGAGTAAATAGTTCAATTAACTTATTGACCCAAACTACTATGAATAAATAAATATCTGTCGTGCTTCTCAAAAAAAAAAAAAAAAAAGAAAAGAAAATAATCGCATAAAAATATGTACACCATAAAATAATCAATCTATGGTTTTATATATGTTTATTAAGAACACGCTGTGTTGTTACCAACATGTTGACTGCAACTCATCAACAATGTAATAAATATTAAAAGGTATTTAAGTCAAAAGTTTACCATTAATACGTGAGTATATAGTAATTAAAGATAATTAAATGATAATTTATATAGGACACAATGCAAAGAGTATATTTTTTATTGTAAATATTATGGGGTATAGCGCCATCTATCGGTATGTTTCATAGTTAAAATAATGGCGAACTCGCAACATTAGATCGGAGCAAAACTTATACCCTAAACAAGTTATGTAGAAGTTTTTAAAAGGGAATAAAGGCTACAGTAACTGCTTACCATCCTAACTAGCAGACGTTTTCCTAACTTTGATATATCGTCATAGTCGCAGAATACTGACGGATCTTTATATGTAATCTTTGTCAGATCCGTCAGTATTCTACGACTATGACGATATGAAACTATAAAAAATGGAATTTACTTTACCGAATAAGGTGATAATTTCGCTCGACCGTTTTTGATACTTATAAGTGTTTAGTGTGAGTTATACAAAGATTTATGTTACGATCGTGTACATAAAAATTAACTGCATCTCTAGCGGATAGTTTCGGAGAAACAGATGCTCATGCAAAATTATTAAAAAAAATGTGAACGCGATTGTAACATAATTTTTTGTGCAACTCACACTAGGAACTCAGATCAGATTGTTTAATGCTATTTTTAAAATGTACTTTATCTCGGCTGTCGAGAATCGAAAACTGGTTGAAGATTAAAAGTTACACGTCTACGAGTGATTGTTTGGGATATTAGCTAAACATATAGGCGAGTAATTCTCGATCAACACGCTCCCAAAGCAGTGGCGTAACTATACCATTTGGGTCCTGTGGCAATTTCTTTTGATGGGGCCCTATCATTTATTTTCAAGTAAAATAAAATACTCAGGTACAAGGTAAAAAAAAAAACAAAATTCTGAGTTCGCGGCCTCTTGAGCCGGGACCCTTTTGGGTCGGGGGCTCGTGGTATTTTGCCAGCCCTGCCACCCTATTGTTACGCCACTCTAAAGTATTTTGTGTACTCCCACTATGCACTCTGATCTGGAGGGGGGGAATCGAAATCACCGAGGTCAATTCTGAGGTACCATTTTCCCTAAATACCTAAAATAAAAATTCCAATTTGATGTAACAGCGAAATCTTTAAGAACCGATATGAATTAAATTCCAAATAGACTGAAGGCAAAATTGTTATAAATTTAGTTTATGATCGTCCACAAAACAGGAATTTTGAGAAATCGTCAAATTAAATGGTTCTCAACCATTTAATTTTAGGGAACTGTTACCACAGAGTTGACCTCATTTGCATCCATTTACTTTATATTTTAACAGTGCAACTGATCCTGAAAGAAATGCATTTGGGCACTTCTTTTTTAGACATGTATTTTCTCAGAAGCACATTTTCAATATTAGACTTTAACATTAATTATTTTAAGTCGTATTTCCATTGACGTATATTAAATTATTGGTTCAAATTATTTGTAAACGGAGTGGATTGTATTGTTCATTATGAAAGACTTGAAATTTCAATGAAACGGGTGAATTTTGTATTATAGTAAATTTATGGATAATTATATATAATTTAGGTACTTAATTAGGGATATATTTTTTATGGTATTTAAGGAGGGATATTTTTTTAGTAATGATAATTGAATGGCAATCCTGCCTGTGCTGTCGGTATACTCTGGCGAGATAATACCAGTGAGGGATGGTAGGCGAGGATGAAAGATCAATTGGGACATCATTAATTTGATTATATATATATATATATATATATATATATATATATATATATATATATATATATATATATATATATTGACGAATTAAATACATTTACAATAGTATATACTCGCGTATTCCAAGTGACGAGCTATTTAGTTGTAGTTTTGTTTACTGGCAAAGTTAATTACAAAGATTTTACAATCCACTCATCAGATATATTTATATTAAACAATTAATATTACAAATACTGGACCTAAGAATAAGAGAATAAAACCATATATTTTTTTTAATATAATAAACAGATTTATTAATAAAATATTGTATATAAAATGTGTATATAATTATATTAATAATAACAAGTTGTTGTAAATTTATTTCGTTATCACCTTCATTCTTAACCAATATCCCATGTTTATCACAAAATTACATTTAAAATCTCTGATAGGTATATACAAAAATATACAATGGAAATAACAAAATATGAAGAGAGTAGTTTTTGACACTAGACTAGTTTTATACCCTGATTTTAGACCCAATGAAATTAAATGGCAGAGGCAATAATTGAAAATGGAACAATTTTAAAATTGAAAATGGAACAATTTTGAATGTCTTCAGTGAATGTTTGGAATGTAACTTCAAAATCACTTAATTCTTTTTTGTTTTACGAATTTCGAAATTGGACGATACGATTTTATTGTATAAAATTTAAGTCAATAATGATAACTACGTTATAAGGAGAAAGAGAACCGCATCATTGCTACACAGGGTTAGGACAAGCACCAATAGCATTCTGAAAGTAATAAGCGATAAATATAACTCGCCTATAATTGGGCATTTCATTCAGATGCTGTTCTAGTCGGCTGGCTCACGTCTGAGTGAATTGCTTTAATTAATTTGCTTTTCTTTTTTACTAACATAGTTTGTAAGAAAGTTGTTACTAACAAAATGGACCAAATTGTAGTCTGAATAATAAACTATATTATTATTATAAATCTAAAATTTGTATAAGGCCCTGATAAAAGAAGTCCATTTCATTATAATAATATCATATGTAAACACAAACTAAAGTCAACGTCAAATCCTCTTTATTCAAATGTACTTGTTTACAAGCATTTTTAAGTCGTCTTTTTTAATCTACTGCAGGATTCGGTATGTAGTTTCGAACTAGTTTTGATACTTGCAATCCAAGTATATTATATATTGGATTAAAATTAAAATTGGAATTACTGATGACGTCACGTTGATTTGTTTACTGCACTATACATTTACAAACTTCTAATTAAATCTTGAGTCAATTTGCTACCAAATCTCCCAAGTAATTTGATTGTTTGCTTTGTGCTTAAGTGAATTAGTAAATAGTATTGTTTAGTCATAATTATAATAGTAGAAAGCTTGTTTAGATTTTATGGGATTGAGATGTTAAAAAACGAAAATCCTAAATTAAACGTAGATTAAAAAAATTTTGATTGTATTTGTATGCATAGAGATTAAATTAATCATGCAAAGATGTCGCAATAAAAATTTACTATTTAATTTCATAAGAATTCCAATTTATTTTCTGTACTTTTTTTGAATAAAAAAGAATTCAAGGCCCCATATTAATCCTGAATAGCTACGTTATTTGTTCATCGTCGTTGTCGTTCGAAATTTGTGATTACAGATTAGATCTCACGTGTCCTTTCACTTGTTTGCTCTTGTATCTCCATTGATCCTGGAACATATATAATTTATTATTATTATTCCAGCCGTTACGTGTCCACTTCTGAACATAAGACATTTCCATAAGGAGAGTTATGCCAATAGTTGCCACACTTGGCAGGGACGCTGGTGCCCATTCCTGTACTATAAGCTCCCTTTATCCGCCTCTTATGACACCCACGGGAAAGGAAGGGGTGGCCCATTTTATGCCTTTATATTTATAAATATAATATAATTTAAATATAATATTAATCGTAAACAAAACAAATTTAGGGCCTTTGAAATGTGGTGCTGGAGAAGGATGGAGAAAATTAGCTGGAGGGATCGAATTAGTAATGAGGAGGTCCTGCTTAGGGTTAAGGAAAAGAGACAAATTTATAAGAACTATTGAGGACAGAAGGGCAAAATGTTAGGACACTTGATACGACACGACGAACTTATGAACATTATAATAGAAGGTAAGATAGAAGGAAGGAGGGGGAGAGGGAGACCGAGACATAGTTACATCAGGCAGATCAAGGAAGGAGTTGGTGTCGTGTCGTATCAAGAGATGAAGAGACTCGCTGAAAATCGTAGTGAGTGGCAAGAGCTCCACCGACAAGAGCGTAGCTCTTAAATAGGATACATAGATAAATTAATCGTAAAAAAATGGTCAAAAATAACTTTTAACGGAAAGCCAAAACTGCTTTTGTCTACAAGTACATTTTTTTATACCACTGAGGTGGCAAACAAGCATTCTGCCCATCTGATGGTAAGAGTTTACCGTAACCTACGAATGCCTGCAATATTACAAGCATTACGCAAACGTTGATGACCCTGAGAAAACTTCTTAAGCTTTTTTTATAGACAATTTATTGCAAAAACAAAAACAGTAAAAAAAAAACCTTTTGTCTATGGTATTTCATCTGACCGTATACCGATAGCGCAGGCTACCATTCCATTATCACCCATAAAAAAAGACATACACGAGACTGCAATGTAAAGATTTAAATTGAATAAATTATTAATAAAACTGACCTCGAAGCTAACTTCGAAGCCCCTCCTCCTGCCCTCCGCCTCGATCTCCCTCACGATGCCGTCCTGGACGGTGCCGCGCACGTCTATGTACTGGCAGTTGCTGTTCATGAAGTGGCAAGTCATTGATTTGCGGTATCTCTGTAAAATAAAAAAAAAATACGCTACTTAGCATAAGAATATCTTTATTTCCTTTAACAAAATTAGCCTATGGTACAATATAGCTATGACCCCACACTAGGCAAAGCCTGTCTCGTGGAGGTCAAAGCATGTAATTTTACAGTTATGGTGCGGCGAACAGGGTTAATCTAATTATATAATGTTTCATGTGAGTTTGGGTACACGTTGGTGCATGGTTTGTGTGGACGTGTGCATGTGCGCGTGCGAGTACGTGAATGTGTGTTTGTGTGGGTGTGTGTGGGTGTGTGTGTATGTGTGTGTATATGTGTATGTGTGTGTGTGTATATGTGTATGTGTGTGCGTGTGTGTGTATGACAAACAAGTTGACAGCCCACCTGATGGAATAATAATAATAAATTCTTTACTGCGCACAATAGAGATGTATACAAGGAGTATTTATACAGAATGTGCATATACAAAAGGCGGCCTTATCGCTAAAAGCAATCTCTTACAGACAACCTAGTATAAATAGTAGATGAGTAGAAAGAGAATGGTAGAGTTACAGGGGAAAGTGGTAACCGTCGCCTATAGACTTGAGCAGTACCATGGACATAACAGAGTATACTGGTTCACCCATGATACCCCCACGCGTTGCCATTCCTGAGGACTCAGGTGTTATTCCTCTGTACCCTGTAAATTCACGCCATATCCCACCCGAAACACAGGCATGCAAACACAACTGCTTCACGGTTGAAACACGAATGGGACAGACAATCGACTTTTGTACAAAGTCTCCCTCTGGTAGTCTCAGTCTGGCTGAGAAGACGATGATGATGATTAGGCCAAATCATCATCATCGTCATCTCAGCTATTATCTGTCCACTGCTGAACATAGGCCTCTCCAATAGGCAGTTACATAGAACGGTCCTGAACCACCTGCATCCATCAACACTCCGCAATACATTTGAGGTCATCACTCCATCTAGTGGAGGGGTCGTCCTACACTGCGTTCGCTCGTACGGGGTTACCACTCAAGAATGTTTCTTCTCCCTTTCTTTGAAATCAATTATGGGATAAAATCTCATAAAAAAAAAGCTCTAGGCTAAAGATGCTCACGTTGGTAATATTAGGTCCTGAACCGTGTATGATGAGGGGATGGAAGAACACTGTGTCTCCTGGCTCCATCTCGAGGTGGATCACCCTTTGTGGAGGAGCCAGCTGTTCCTCGTTCAATATTCCGTGGTACAGCTTCTTTTTGATACCCTGGAATGAGAAGTCAATACATATAATAAAATCGTAACCGGTCGCTGTCTGTACATGGAAGATATATAAGAAAAACTGTTATATGGAGGCTTTATGAACGCAATAGAACCCAAAAAAATGTTTTTTTATAATTTGTTGTAATATAAAAAAAAATATTGTCTTTTGTAATGTGAATTGTGAGAATATTTTTATGATTTTATTACTTACAATGTTGCCGTGTGGATAAATTGTGTTCGCTCTATGGGATCCTGGTACCAGAAATAGAGAGCCGTTCTCGATGGTCACGGGGTCGATGGCAGTCCATGCCGCTATTATCTTGTCAGCAGGTCTGAATGGGAAGTAGTACAAGTCCTGGAAAGAAAAACGTACTTATTTAATATGACTGGCGTTAACTGTCCACTGCTGAACATAAGAGACAGACTTTGTAAGTCGATTGCTTGGACACCTCTCTTCCATTCGTGCTTCTACCGTGAAGCAGTTGTGTTTGCATGGCTGTGTTTCAATTTGAAGGGAGGGATATGGCGTGAATTTACTGGGTACAGAGGAATAACACTTGAGTCCTCAGAAATGGCAACGCATGGGGGGTATCATGGGCGAAACAGTATACTCTGTTATGTCCATGGTACTGCTCATGTCTATAGGCGACGGTTACCACTTCCCATCAGGTGGGCCGTCAGCTTGTTTGCCATTCTAAGTTGTATAAAAAAAAAATAGAAAATACTGAATAAAGACGTATTTTACTTTACCTAGTACAATAATAGTCATATTTTAAAAAGACGTTCTCTATTATCCAAATATTAATTGACAGAAAAAAAATATCTATTTTTAAAAATAAATTAAATAAAACCTTAACAGGCTATATTCTAATTTAACATAGGATATTTAATATACTGATTTATTTAATTAAACTTTAATGCACAGTAAAATTCTATGTACATTTGGTGGACTTAACACCGGACGGTGTTCTCTACCAGTCGACCATTGGGCGAACAGAGAAATAAGTAGGCGGTGCATTATTCAATAGAGGAAAAAAATTTGGTTTTTCTCCATTCAAAAGACTGATTCACGCGTGCAAAGTCGCGGGGCACAGCTAGTTTATAACAATCATAAATTGCTTGTGATATTGTTCACCTGATGCGGCGGGTGGCGCTCGCTGCCGGGCGGCTTGTTGATCAGCATACTGTTCACCGCGGTGATCTCATCACCGATGAACTGGGACAGCACGTGCAGCAGCCGAGGGTCCTCCACGTAGCGGCCGAACACTTCGTCGTAGCATATGTCGTGCAGCTGTAATTGGTATAAGTTTTATTTTTATTTATTAATAACTAGCTGCCCGTCCCGGCTTTGCACGGGTGGACATTTTTACAACATTTCACATTTTAAACTAATCCTACCTAGCTATTTTTTTTACACCTTGAGTTACGTTACTAAAGTTAGGTTTTAGTAAGGATCCCTAGTCTTCTCTAGCAATAAATATAGCCTATGTTACTCAAGGTAAATGTAGCTTTTTTTTTTTTTTTTAATATTTTAAGGGCATAATGGTGAAAGAATATTTGAAATCGGCAAAGTAGTTTTTGAGTTTATTCATTACAAACATACACACACACACACAAAAATACAAATCCTTCCTCTTTATAATATTAGTGTAGAAGTGTAGATAATATTTTTTTTTATTTTTTTTTTAATGCATGTTAGAATGGCAAATAAGCTTTATATAACCATGTATAACCAATATCAAAAGCCTTACCTTGTTGACGTAGTCCTCCGGTTTCAGGCCCTTCCCGAGAAGCGAGGGCTCTCTAACAATAGTCAGCAGCTGTCCTCTCTCCACCGTACCGTTGCATACTGCCACGAACTGTCGCCTGTAAATTTATAACACAATATTTACAAAAATTGGATATTCACTTCGATATGGAAGGGGATTTCTATAGGAATGCATTGAAGAGCAGAAGTTTATGTAAAGTAATTATTTATTGAATTTATTATGTTTATTTTTATAGATAAAGTAAATATTTATTGACGGTTTTTTTAATCGATGATAATGGAAGGGAAGAGGGAGACCGAGACATAGTTACATCAGGCAGATCAAGGAAGGAGTTGGTGTCGTGTCGTATCAAGAGGTGCAGAGACTCGCTGACAATCGTAGTGAGTGGCAAGAGCTCCACCGACAAGAGAGCAGCTCTTAAATAGGATAGATAGATAGATAGATAATGAAATAGTAACCCTGTCTGCGCGGGGGAAAGGGATTGTTAGTAATGGAGACTGAGAATCCCATTGCTAGCAATATACCCAACCAGGTCGACCTCCTCGCGGTTCCCCCTGGAAACTATCATGGTTAATTCCTGATGAATTCATCATGATGGGCTAACTGGCCTGTTTTCATTCTCATCTATCACCCTTCACTGGTGTTCCGCCAGCGTATCCCGTTAGCGCAAGCGGGGTTACCACACCATTATCAACCATCAAAAAAAAAAAAACCCTGTCTGCGCTAACGGTATACACTGGCGGGGTACCAGTGAGGCATGATACGTGAGAATGAAAAAGCAGGTCAGTTAGCTCATCGTTATGAATTCACCTGGAATTGAGCGCGACGGTTTTCAGGTGGACCACGTGGAGGTCGACCTGGTTGGGCAATATGCCCATATATGCTAACAATGGGACTAGTAGTCCGTAGTAACAATCCCAAAGAACAAAGATTTGTTCCTTACTTTAATTTCAAAGTAAATTCAACTTACTTGTAAGCGTATAAAGATTCAAAATCAATCAGCCCTTTGATGACCAGGAATCCATTCTCGTTGTAGAACCGAAACTGTTCCGGTGAGATGTTGTAGCCGGAAATACCGGTTGAGCAGCTGTTAGAAAAAAAATAAACGTTAGTATAAATTTATATTAACAGAAATAATTGTGTTAACTACTAACTTAATTAGTTAAATAAACAAGTTGCGTACAGTACAGAAAACTCCTCGAAACTAGGTTTCACCGGAATTTTCTTCGACGAACGCTCAGGCTGTGGCTATCCCTGCCGAGATTTTCCTTAGAGACTACAGTACGAGGTTATTTAAAAAGGGTGTATTAAGGTTTTGTCGAGACCCCTAGTGTTGCAGGCATCCATAGGCTACAATGAACGTTTACCCGAGTCCTCAGAAATGGCAACGCATGGGGGTATCATGGGCGAAACAGTATACTCTGTTATGTCCATGGTACTGCTCATGTCTATAGGCGACGGTTACCACTTTCCATCAGGTGGGCCGTCAGCTTGTTTGCCATTCTAAGATGTATAAAAAAAACCATCAGATGAGCTGTATGCTTGTTTGCCACCTTCGTGACATAAATCTTGGTTTTCCTTTTACAAATAAATAAATAAGGCACACGGACGAATCCGCGAAGAAATGAAATATTTATTTTTAAATAGACGTTTAATGCTACAAAGATCATGTAACTGAACTTTTGTCATTGGCTACAGCATACAAATATGTCATTGTATTAATTAAACAAGGACAGCATTAATGTTGATTGTTATGATTATACAAAAGTAATGACAAAGAAAAAGAGAAGAATTAAACAAAACCAAAAACAAATTTTGAATAAGTTCTTGCCCATTTTGGGAAACCCAAAACGGATTTAAATTTATTACAACGGCAATAGCGCTTCGCTCTCTCATCTAAAAAAATCCTAACAGATTACAGAAGAAAACACTTAAGAGAATACACATTGCAAATTGCATAATTTGTGTTAAGTTAATAACAATGTTCGCAAAGGCGAACTTATCTCTAAAAGAGATTTCTTCCAGTCAACCTAACACAGTGGCATAGGAAGTATTGAGTGGGCAGTAGTAGTGCAAGACAGAAATTAAAATAAATATTTACATAAATTATAAATCATTATATATTTATGGTTCGGTTTCGAATCGCACATGGTCCTTCGAGCCGGATTCGAACAAGCTAATCGCATTGTCTAATGAAATCAACGATTACATATTACATGAATAACAAATTATAAATCAATGTCAAGTCCCAAAGTATTATATGTCATTTATATTTTGTACTTCCTAATACATTTTATACACAATAACGTTAATATTGCTGAATAATTAAGATAATAACGATAACAGGACAATTATGATAATGAATATTATTAAATGTACAATTAATAATTGTCAACTATTTTTCAGAAATAAAGAAATAACATTCTCCGACAGTGTAGAAGAGCCTATCTAATAGCCATAGATGTATGTAGCCGTTTTTTTTTTCAATAATATAAGGGTAAATCTAAAAGAACTGAGGAAACTTTTTTTATATAGTTAAGGACTATAAATGAAGCACTCCTTTGGTATAGGGTATTGCTTTTTGATATTACAAGTTTTTTTTTTTTCGATGATTTGTCCGCACGTATTAAATATTTTTGGGTATTGCTTTACAACGGTAAAAAGATGAGTAAATAATAAATAATCAAGGACATATCGTTGTATTGATAGTTAAATATTTATTTTACAAAGTAGAATTAAATATCTTGTTATCAGAATAAAATGTCCGGTAACATACAAAAAAAAAATATATTATAGGCAAATTTAGAATCTTCCTTTTGTTATGTTGCTTAAAAAGTGATAGATTTAACACTTCTACACAAATAATAACAATGGTCATTTATTTCTATTAATATAATACCAAATTATAATAGCGACAGCATATATATAATAATATACTGTCGCAAGTGCATGCATGCGATAGAAAAAGATAGCAACGTTCGCCGTCCCATTTATAATCCCGTTAAATGATTTGGGTAGCAGAAATAACATTATTTTGAGATGGATCCCTGGTCACTCAAATATTGATGGGAATGAAACAGTTAACCCATTAGCAAAGGGAGCAAAGAATGCCCAAATAGGACCAGAATCTTATTGTGGCATACCTCGAACTTCGAGCGAGTCGGTGGCTTCAAGGCTCGAAGCCTAAAGTTCAGACACCTTAAACTTGAAAGGTTAGAAATAGCAAATAATAGCTGGTTCTTGTTGCCAGGATTAGATCACTCGACAGACCTGATTAAGGGCTTTTCCGAAAATTACACTAAAAAAATTCTTTTGTGTAAAAATAATATATGTGCATTAACAAGGGCTCTCACTGGACACTGCAAACTAATCAAGCACATGGCCCAACTAGGCTTATGCCCAAAGTGTTTGCAGATTTTGTCCCAATAAGGAAGAAACGCCGCAGCACTGAATGTATGGCTGTAGCCCACTTATATATAAACGATATATCTTCTTTGGAAACACATTATATATCCTGAGAAGATAAAACATCTCTACAAAAACATCTTAAAATTCCTATCACTGATAGGAGTTGGCAGTGAACTTTAAAAAAGGGCGAGCACAAAAGATCATAGAAGGTCATCAAGGTACGTCACAGGTTTCTCTGTCTGGAAAAATTCCGTTTTTCAATAAAAATAATAATTGCCGTCCCATTTTTTCATGTACGCACGATAACAAGTATAGTAGTATAAGCACAACTATAGTATAGTTTAGTCTAGAGGAGCTATATTGATAATAGTGTGATAAAATTTAACGCGAAATGTGGAAAATTGTTGTTATATATTTATATGTCCAATGATAACTGGTGATAAAAAAAATCTACAAAAAATCAAAGACTGAAAGTGGCATTGAAAATAGAACGAACGTAAAAAAATTGGCCGTTACAAATTCGCTAGAAATTTACCGCAATGGTTTCCAGAGGTCATCGCTCGAAGATTTTTGAATGGGTGATAATGAAATGGTAGCCCCGCCTGTGCTAATGGTATACGCTGGCGGGGCACAAGTGAGGGATGATAGGTGAAGACATCTGGAGCTGGTTAGTTGGCCTATAGTGACGAATTCATAAAGTGTTAATCAAGATGGTTTCCAGGGGGAACTGCGTGGAGGTGGACCCGATAGGGTATATTACGTATATGGGGCAAGTAGTTCCTATTGCTAACAACAAGAGTAATAATAATAAATTCTTTATTGCGCATAATAAAGATGTAAACAAGGAGTATTTATACAGAATGTGCATATACAAAAGGCGGCCTTATCGCTAAACGCAATCTCTTACAGACAACCTGGCGTAAATAGTAGATAAGTACAGAGAGAAGGGTAGATGGCGTAAGTAAGTAAATATAAAAAAGTAACTAAAAATAAAATGCATATTATTAACAGCTTGGATGGAGAAAGATATAAGGAGTTCCAGAGACGGATAGCTTGGATGTAGAAAGAATAGGAACAGAATTTAGAAGAATGAATAGGAGTTACGAAAGGATCCCACGCTGCGCAATATACGACCCTGAGAATCGACATGAAACTCAAAGCACATTTTGAGGTAATCGGGAGTTGAAGGATGGAAAATAAAGAAGAGATAGGATATGCCAGTTCCTGCGAAGGCAAATTGGCAGCTACGTAAATTGATTGCGGAAATCAGAGATGTGGTCATATTTGCGAAAATTAAATATAAACCGTGTACAAATATTTTGAATTCGCTTAAGTTTCATTCATTGATCTTCTATATAAATAACATAACAGGAATCGGTGTAATCTAGAATCGGAAGTAGTAGACAGTGTGCCAATGCAGTTTTGGTGCCGACTGGTAGAAAGTTTCGCAGCCGATTGAGACTACCTATAAATGCAACTATTTTACGGCTTAAGGGACTACTCACACTTATTCAGCCCCATTCACGTTTCGCTGAACGATTTTGGTCACTTTGTGCTCTGCTTCTATCAGCCGCGTACGGCGTCGTAAGAATGAGAAAAGCCGTTATAGCGTGCTATCTCCGCTGAAAAGCTTGTCTACTGCGTACGGCGTTGAATATGTTGCATTTCGTAAAAATAAAATAATTATAATTACTATAAAATACGTCTGCACTCATTAATGCTTGCGTACATAATGATTACGCAATAATAAATCAAATCGATGCAGAAACAATACAGGTCGCAACTTGTCGACAAAATCGTTGTTTTCTATGGACAAAAGCTGAATAGAGGTGTATAAGTGTGAGTAGTCCCTAACTGAGATATTTGATGTGACCAGGCCACTCTTTTCTCCCCCTACCACTTGGAGGTTATAGGTTGCAGTTCGATGGTTATGTAATGTAATTTATACGTGACATATATGTTACATTGTATGAGGTAACAAATACTTTTTATACCCGTTTTGCATACGTGCGTCTATGAGCGTATCAAATGGGCGATAATGATTTGGAGGCAAAAAATTCATATCAAGGTGCCTACAATTTTTTGTTTTACAATATGTCTCAAAGCAAAGCTCTTATTTATATATGTTTTATTGCAGAATGACAAATATTGTAAATGGTCACTTGATATAACTGTCTTTTTAATCGTTTTAAAAAAAATAGAAGAGGTTCTTACCTATCATCTTTTACTGGTGCCCCGTTAGCGTATACCGATAGCGCAGTCAGGGTTACCGTTCCGTTAAAAGTACCCTGTAATTTAACTGCCATTTTTGTCATTTATTCAATTGAAATTAAATGATTCAATTGAAATCGTTAAGTCCACAGATGTAGATGCTGTGAGCATCTAAATTTATATTCTTCTAGCTAAAACCCGCGGCTTCGTCCGCATGAATCAGTAGATATATAAATTATACTATGTGCTAAGTTAGGATACAGGGGGGAAAGGGATTGTTAGTGACGTAGACTGAGAATCTCATTGCTAGCAATATACCCAATCAGGTCGACCTCCTCGCGGTTTCCTCTGGAAACTATCATGGTTAATTCCTGATGAATTCATCATGATGGGCTAACTGGCCAGTTTTCATTCTCATCTATCACCCTTCACTGGTGCTCCGCCAGCGTATCCCGTTAGCGCAGGCGG